GTTGATATGTAGATCAGTTAGAGGTTGTTATACGGCGATACAGTAAGGTAGAAGGTGACAGTAGCAATTAAATACTATAATGTAACGGCACTTCTTAACTCATTCGGCCTCAGAATTGACAAGTACGGTTTCGAGTTTCCATGCATTTAAATGGTAAGGCAAAAATCGATGTAGTGCCTTCAGAAATCGAAAGAAGAATCACCAAAAAAGCATTTTATGGACTGGTTACCCACTCAAAACCTTAAATGTTAGTGTAAACATTACACATATTTCAAATGTGTTGATTTGACAATGGCTAGTTGATTGCCCGTCATGTACGTACACTTTCAACAAATATGGTTTCTCAGTAATCTCGTTTGTGAAATGTTAACATTTTCGAGTCCGAATTACATTCTTGGGGAGTCATAGAGACCAAAAAATGTGATGGAGACCGGCTTTTCACATACTGTGATACCACGAAAATTTTGTTATATGTATCTACTAAGTCGAATTCAGAAAAAACTCACTTACTATATATTGTCAGACAAAGTCTATTAAAAATCAGGCGTGTGTGGAATCAGATAATGGTCACGTAACCTTACATTATTCAAGACATGATTACTACCAAATGGAAGCACATTGTGGTTTTCGTAGTTGATGGGATTTAGAAGCCATTTTCATTAGTCTTCAAAATAGCGAGCTTTTTTTTGGCTGCATATGCTCGATTCTCACTTTCCGATAACGGTCTATTGTGGTGAAAATTATCGTGCTTTAGCTTAGATAAGTTGATTATTAACTGCGTTATTAGATAAATTTTCAGCTCGATAATTCATCACCAATATGTTGACATGATGAGATGGATTGGTTTTTCCATAAATGTTCACCATAAAAGTCACAGGTTGTCATGATGGTGTTAATAGCTGTCAGATTTACTGCTTGTATCGCTTTGTTTATATATTAGTCGTTGAAAATGAATGGCATGGAGCATTTCGACTGATAATGGTAACGTGCACTAGCACTTACTTTTGGGCGGTTGAAGTTTGTAGAGGTTCTCTGTTGAACTCATTTTTTGTCGAGTTACTTAATGATGTTTTCACTGTAGAGCCAGTGAAATGTCACTTGGCCCTACCTAATTCATTCAGTGGTGGAGTCACTGGTTGTCGATACAGTTCGCCGATCTTCGTTAAGTTCAAGGAAGACCAACACGCATCAACTAATCGTACGCCATAGACTGGCCTATGTGTTTGTGGTCGCAATCTCTTCCTTGTACCTACTTTACCAATATATTTCTGTAATGACGTCCTTTGTGTTATAAGTTTTTCACTGCGTTCACAGTACCATGATACAAATAAAGGTTAATCCACAAAGGTGCTGACCGCGGGGTGTGACTTCGAAGTTAGCTAACCAATCACACCATCCGCGTCTAACTCGAGTAGGCCCCTACTCATTTTACGTTAGTGATCTACATCTCCATTATCTTTCATATTAAGGTGATAACTCTCAACATGATCATGTGAGTAAAAAAAAAGTAATTTGTTCTATACCAGTCAATCAGTACTTCTCGATATAACCACATTTTCCAGGATAATTGTGTATCTCAACCTCTTCACCGCAGAAGTACATGGGGACTAGTGCAACGCAGTCCAACATACCGTACAAAATATCACTCTAGAAACTTCGAGGTTTTTCACCAAGATACATGATTATTTTTTCAAAATGAAAGTCTAGAATCTACAAAATCCATTACTTGACCGAATGACCACTACAGATTTTGATACCTCCTTTAAAGACAGGTCTGATAACCATATTGGAATCGTATGTACTGAACAAGTTTTTCCATTTGACTTTGGTTTTATTAATGAAAAACCTGCAATTTCTTCCCCCGTTTTCAATGAATATGAAAAAAGGCAATTCTATTTAATACCAAGGACCATCTTTTATATCTCAGAAATGCATTAACGAATAAGTAGTCATCTATTCTGCTCAGCAATGTTTAAAGTTCATACCGACCTTTTGTATGCGAAGTTTTATTCACGTAATTCTAATGCGATACTGCATTTTGATGCTGCATAACCATTTTTATAAGCAAACTGATGAGAATGACTAGGCTAGATAAATAATGTTTCTCTATTGTTTATTGAAAGTCTCTGGCCTTTAAAGATAAGCGGACGAAGCGCGCTTTACGTCTTTACTCTTGTAGGTAGCTATTCGGGTCAATTGTACGTTATATAGTTGTTTTTGGCTTTGTCATATTGTGTATTGTTGTATCAGTTATTCATATCCAACACAAATTTGGTTATCAATGGACTTCCTGACCAAAAATGTTTCATATGAGGGTTGCTTAAAAAACCCTACAGCTATTGTAATTACAATAGCTGTATGGATTTAAATTTTTCATCACTTTAACGACCGAAGAATATCTCAAGTGATATGTCTTGCAAATTTCGATTCATCTGTAAGGTGACAGGGACTGTTCACACCATCCGACCAATTTTGTTTGAACCAGTGATCACATCCCTGTCGTATATATTAAAACAGTTGACCGGCTGATCATAGGTAAAGATATTGATTTAGTGGCTTGTCTTCTAAAAATGGAAATCACATCTGGTTTAGTCTAACTAGAAGGCCTCTTCTTAATAGTCAGGTAGCCATTACACATCTAACCATACCCAGATGGCATGCCGTGCCTAATACATGCAGCCGTTGTGCGTTACTGTTCCCACTCATTAGTGGGTGCTACTATGCCTTTAACAACCACAGCCTCAGCGTATTTCTTCATCAGCATGGCTTTCTGAAATTATAGAGATTTAAGTGCAAACCGTGTCCACAAATCGTGAAGTATTTACCGCCCGGTATTTCCGTTCGTACTCATTTACAACTTCATCAAAGTTGTTTTTGACAACCCTATGTTAAATGACGTGTTCTGCTTCCAATAAAATAGCATTCTGACTGATTTACCCAGTAACCAATGGAGGTCCTTTTGCTATGCTTCTATGTGTTTTAATCACTTGTTAATACACATGCGAAAATCGATGCATTTAAGGATGTTTCTAGTGTCTAAGATATTTGAAAGTAAGGAGTTTTTCATATTGGCCACAAGCGAACTTTATTCATGTTTCTGACGTTAAGATTCGAAATTAGTTATGATGTCGCAATTGGGTATGGTATTCTCGTTACTTGGACAATCAATTTAAACATTTCGATTATGTGGCAGCAGTTCCTTCTTAATAATCAGTTACTATAGCTGGTTCATTTCTGGATTATGTAGTTTCCTTTTTTATACCCAACTTCTGTTTTATTTCGCTTGATTTAACATGGGCTGCAGATCATTTTTGCTTGAGATTATTTCATAATGTAGTTGTGTTCATTTTATATTAGCCCCGACTATCTTACATGCTGCAATGGGTTGGTTTTCTTATTCTTTTTCAAAGTACGTGATTGTCATCATACTTCCGGTTTACTCCATACCTAGCTTTAACCATTAATGCTCAAAATCACCAAATAAAACTTCCACCAACCGTTTGCTGAAAGATATTATATGAAGACCAAGTGCTAAGAAAAATATTTTTGTAAATGTTTTTTGTCACTCGTATGAATGGAAGTTATGAAAAAAATTAATTCATCAATACTTGGTGTAGAACACTCACATTCTCTTACAAGACTTGCTAAACTGAATGAATTAAAAAAAGAAATTTTTCAATACATTCCGTGGTCAGATATCATAATGCCTCTAACTAGTTTCTGTCGATTTATTGTTTTTTTATTCCAACACATATTGGTATAAGGAGGCACCAAATACATATGCTCCACACAGATCTCATTTGGTATGTGTGAGGACTGTGATACTGCCCGGGTGCCCAAACCGTAGCAGGTGACCTTCTTAGGGGGCCACACCCGGAGCCTTCAACCTAAAGGTCTGATCCACATGGCAGTGGAGCATCGTAAGGAGATGCAGTCCCATGGTAGACGATGACAGACAATTGGTTCATACGCTATTTGTCCCTTCAGGATACTGGAGCCCATGTGCACCATTGGTTTGGAAGGAGAGTTTTCCAACTCCCCTAGGTGAACTCCATGTCCATAAACCCGGTTAAAGCGCTGGACATTCGCTTTTAGTCCTCTAAATTTCGTAAACAACACCCCTGCCACGAGAAAATGCAGTGAGTAGGACTTCCTTGGCAGGGGCTATATACGCGTGACCATGAGAGAACATTTCGAGAGGGAGGGCGGACTCTCCCCACTCTCGGCCGCACCAGGGCATTTTCATTGGAATTGTGTTTAAATCTTTTTCTAGGAGTGATTTTTACCGTTTTCTGTTGCTTATAAGATAAACACCGGATCCAAAGATTTATTGTGCTGTATTTACGTACATTTCTATCATTTTATCTACATCTTACATGTTAAGACTAGTCTTATTGTACAGTTCATTTTCTGTATTATGTTATGAGGGATATAATCACATCAGTTCTCAGTAAACTCATACGCACCTGTTAGCTCAAATGGTGTGTTGGTTGCTCCAAAACCATAAACAGGTGTCATTTAAAAGAAACCATGTATTTGTATTCAGTGTGTAAATATAGCTCATTAGTTTAATTTGAGATACTGAATTTCACTTCTCTGCGCTTAGTTAGATTACCACTATCGTTTTTCATGATTTCGTAGATGAATTTATGTGACCACTCCTGTAAATGGTTTCCACTGTCATACATTTTTGTAAACATAAAGGTATCTGAGTGATACACAATTTTAACGCAGCTTCAAGTTCATAAGATCACAACAACAATTATTTTCCGTTTTTCGGAATACTTTTAAAGTGTTGGGGAACTTCAGAAGTGCCAAATATCATTTATATCCTATAAGTCTTTTGTGGTGCTATATCTTTTGGGTATTCATTGTTCAGTTATCTATAATTTATCTCAATGACCCTTTATTCTGTAAGGACTATTTTTTGAAATGCAGTGTTTCTAACGGCTCGTGATTGATTTTTGTTCCAGCTCACACTCATTCCCTTCCTTTTTGGTATGAGTTATTCTATGGAACCGCCAGCAATGAGCACTTTTTTATCAGACAACGAAACAGTTGGAGAATCCACTAACCTTTTGCATCTCGAAGGTCATAGTTGGAGCCAGCTGCAAGATGGGACTATTGAGATAACTGACCGATTGCCTAAGAAAGAATACTACATGAGTCTTCGGAGGTTCAACAGCACTGGTCCTAATTCTGGAACTGCACACAGGTTGGGAAGTATTTCCAGTGGTTCAGCTGCTGGATTAGCCAATGGATCATCTGGTTTACTAGGTGGTAACTCACCCTCACCGCGCCCAGGTGGTAGTACTCTACGTGGATCATCACACCCATCGGTTGTTGATTTTAAACCTTCTGGTAAAATAGTAGATTGTACGGTTGTAATGCTGGATGGCACAACAAGAGAGTTTCGTTTAGATGTAAGTTGCAGTTAATATAGTTTATTTATACTTTTTTCTTTTATCAAATTAATACTTGTACTGAGCTATTGCTTCTACGGACTACTGTTCCCATTTCAAACTGTCATTAAGAATGTCCTAAGTGCCTTTTAACTGTTTGTCTAAATTGATGTTGTGTTGATAGTTTTAAGAATAATCAACTTAAGGTTTCCATACTGAGATGTAGCGCATGTTATATTCTTGTGTACTGTCAATTTCGAAATTTTATGATATTCTTACTAGTTTTCCTCAAATATATCAGATATCAAGTTTGAAAGCTAGAGGTGTTTTATATTATTGATATTTTTATACTGTTAAAGATCCCCACTTTAGGTCACCAAAGAATACATATAAATGTAGTGGTGATTGTGAAGAGAAGAGGGAGGGGTCATAGAGCCCATAAATAAATAAACGAGAATAGTATTTAAATACAGACGCGGTTCAGTTAGAAATATAGCCAAGGAGAATGTCATACGTCTAAGGTAGTGCAACTTAATGAAGAAAGTGATAGGAAATTATGGCAAGAGTGCCACTGGATTTTTTCCAAAGTTTGTCTGGTAGTGTTTCAAGACAAAGTTGCATGGTATTTAGGACTCCAAGCTAGAAGGCATAATGAACCGGCCGATCCTACAGTTATTTTTCATATCACTACCCCATATCATAAACTGACCACCTCTTCTTACATACAATCCTAGCGTTTTAAAATAATGTACAGGGTGAAGCTGCTGCGGAAACCTTTGTAAAATGTGTACAAACCACCGAACATGTCACCATATTGAATAATTGATATTATGCTTGAACATACTACTGTATCTCAGAATTGCTAACATAGTATTCTCATCAGATTTGAGCAACCTTTCGGAAGCAACGATTAAATTCACAGTGACAATTGTTCTTCACGCACAGATTAAATTAAAACGTTCCCCACAACGCGATACCTGACAATCTGACTAGGTCTATTTAACATTCTGTATAAGTAAATTTGTCCTGTGGGAGAGTAACTATGAATAGCTGATGGTTAATAGTATTTCAGTCAGTAATATATAATATTCCTGGTTCTACGTTGCATATAACTGACTGATTATACACTAAAGTCATGAAAGATGATGAGCGAATAAAAATGAAGCTGTAAATACTATGAGTTTTTTTATTTTTCGGCTAAAGTCGTCGTTACATGTCTGTTTCCAACAAACAAAAACGTATTCGTATTACCCATCAAAAAACATAAATCTTCGTGACTAACATCACACATATAGAACGGTTTAGTTTCTACACATTGTTAAAATGTTTTTCAAAAAGATTCAGAATCATCTTTTCTTTTTACGAATAATTTTCAACAAAACCTTTCCGAATTTTAAATCCCCGACCGTTGTTGCTACCTTGACGTGGTGGTCGGGCTTGCCTATCGTGATGAAGCAACCGAGCTATACTAACTGGAACAACCGTTCCTCAAGGTCCTACCATGTCAGACAGGTCGGTTGAAGAGCGGTAAGACTAAAAGCAACAAACCCAAGGTCCGAAGGCGAAGTCGTACTGCTGACTGTACAGAGGTGTGACGGCAGTAAGGTGTTTCCTTCAGAAAACCAGCATGACAGCGATGCTGCCTTCCCACAAGGAGGGGTGGGGTTAGAAAACGTCGACCCTAAAAATGCACACCTCACCTTACCTCACGGATTTCCGTCTCCGGCGGTAAGGCCCTTTGAAGAACGGAGCTAACACGTCGAAAACCTTCCACGAAAAGGCCGTGCGCGACCGGCCTCAAGCAGTTGTCCCTTGGGCACTGCGGTCACGCTCTCAGGTCACTGAGACCACCTCTAATCCAATTTCCTTTTCAGGTACCTCCAGAAGAACCCTTCCACGGTGTGGGCAACTGGGAAGTGATAACCGCCCTCATACCTCTAACAGCACCCAAGACCACTGTATTCATAATCAACCTTCCTCTTCAATTCCTATTATTCCTCCTACATCGACTTCCAACCCTAAACTTCCTCCTTCGGCTTCCTCCTCAAGTGTCACCATAGCCAACGATTCTAGTGCTCAAAACTCTGTCCCAGGTCTACTGAAACCTCGCTCCAAACTACACATTGGAGCTTTCAACGTACGCACTCTATGTCAAATCGGTCAGCAGGCTTCCTTGGCTAAAACCCTAGAGTCTCTTTCCATTGATGTATGCTGTGTCTCTGAAACACGCATACAGGATCCCAGTGTGGTCATTCACTTGACCTCACCTCGGCAGAACGGAGAGCCAACGAGATACACCCTCCGTGTATCTGGTGACCCGATGGCCAGTTCTCGTGGACTGGCAGGTGTAGACATAGCACTAAGCATGAGGGCCGAACAAGCACTGCTAGAGTGGATCGCCGTCAACAGTCGTCTATGTGCTGTTCGGCTAAACGGCTCCGTAAGAACTCGGAAGGATAGGGACACACGTCGTTGCCTTTTTGTCGTTTCTGTCTACGCTCCCACTGACTGCAGCTCAGATGAAGTGAAAGATGAATTTTACAGAAAGCTTTCTGAACTTCATCAGAAAGCTAAACGCTCAGACATAGTACTCGTAGCAGGTGATTTTAATGCTCAGATAGGTAGCTTAAACCAAACAGAAAGGCATTTCGGTGGATATTTTAGTATTCCGACACAGCGAACAGATAATGGTGATCGTCTGCTGCAGCTATGCTCAGACAATCGTTTATTTTTAGCAAACACAAATTTTAAGCATAAGGAGAGACATCGTCTAACATGGCGATCCCCTACACCAAACCAACGATGGACTCAAATAGACCATATTGCCATCAGTCATCGTTGGAGAGGGTCGGTAGAAGATTGTCGCTCATTCTGGAGTACCTGCTTGGACTCCGACCATGCCCTAATACGGGCACGCATCTGCTTGCGCCTCACTGGACGCAAAAAAGCCACATTAAAAAGACCAATAAGAACTGAGTTGAGTAACGAGAAAACCAAAAGTAGGTTCCAGGAACAACTGAGGTCACACTTAGGTAGTTGTGAAGACGAGGCTGACCCAGATGTTGCTTGGAAGAGCATACAATCAGCTGTGGAAACAGCAGTGACATCTATTAGTGACTTAAACCACAGAGTTACAAAGAACCAGTGGATTTCTTCAAGGTCTGTCACACTGATGGATTCTCGCAAACTCGTCCCATCAGGTTCCGAACATGATGAAGAGCGAAAACAAATCAGATCTAGGTTAAGAAAAAGTCTAAGGAACGACCGTGAGCAGTGGTGGGTAACGAAAGCAAAAGAGATGGAAAAGGCGGCGACTATAGGGAACACAAGACAGCTTTACAGACTAATAAAAGAAACTGGAACTAATAAGTCAAGTGTAAGTGAGATTATTTCGGAAAAAGACGACACTCTCATCTGCTCCCAGTCCAGACGTTTAGAACGATGGGCGGAACATTTTAGGGAACAGTTCAGCTGGCCTTCAGCGACTCTACAACTACCCTCCATTCCCAGACAGTGTGAATGGAACATTGAAGTAGGTCCTCCAACTCTAGCAGAAGTTCAAAAGGCTATAGTTAATCTGAAACGAGGAAGGGCAGCTGGTCCAGATGAATTGGCTCCAGAAGTCTTTAAGGATGGTGGTCCAATTTTAGCGATTAGGTTGACTAATATTTTAGCTAAGATCTGGGAATTAGACTTTATCCCATCTGACTGGTCGCATTCACTCATCGTCCTAATATATAAGAAAGGGTCAAAATCATCCTGTGACAACCACAGAGGGATTAGTTTAACAAACATAGTATCTAAAATACTGGCCTCGATAATTATCAGACGCCTAACTAAGACTCGTGAACTACAAACTCGAGAGAACCAAGCTGGCTTTAGACCTGGTCGTGGCTGCATCGACCACATATTCACCATTCGTCAGGTTCTAGAACACAGGCATACCTATCGGCGTCCGACGATGGTGGTCTTTCTTGACTTAAAAGCAGCGTTTGACTCTGTAGACCGCGAGATTCTGTGGCAGTGTCTGTCATTGAAAGGCGTACCTCAGAAGTACATAAACCTTGTGAAGGCTCTTTACTCGAACACTACCAGTCGAGTCAGAGCTTATGGCGAACTGTCATCTGCTTTTGCAAGCTCAAGTGGTGTCCGTCAAGGCTCTCAACTTTCTCCATTTTTTTTTAACTTCATCATAGACCTATTGATGGAAATGACATTCTCGTCGACTGAATTCTCGGGTATTGATCTCCTTTCAGGAGGTCCACTTGTCGACTTAGAATACGCAGATGATATAGTCCTGTTTGGTGAAGACGCTGACAAAATGCAGAGTCTTCTGGTAGCACTAAGCAACAATGCCAGAATGTTTGGAATGCGCTTCTCTCCCTCTAAATGCAAGTTGTTGCTTCAGGACTGGTCTGCGTCAACACCTGAACTAAGGATAGGGGGTGAAGTAGTCGAACGCGTCGACAACTTCACTTATCTTGGAAGTCTGATCAGCCCTAATGGGTTGGTGTCTGACGAAATCTCAGCACGGATTCGAAAAGCTCGTTTGGCTTTTGCCAACTTACGTCACCTTTGGCGGAGGCGAGATATCCGTCTATCAATAAAAGGACGAGTATATTGCGCGGCAGTCCGTTCTGTCTTACTTTACGGCAACGAAACATGGCCTTTAAGAGTAGAAGACACCCGTAAGCTACAAGTATTTGACCACAGATGCCTTAGAAATATTGCTGGCATCTGCTGGGATCACCGGGTAAGTAATAGTGAGGTTAGACGCAGGGTATTAGGGAATGATGGTAAATCAGTTGATGAGGTTATGAATCTTCATCGACTGAGATGGTTGGGCCACGTATTACGTATGCCTGAACACCGATTACCACGACGTGCAATGCTAACCGGTGTAGGGGTTGGTTGGAAGAAAGTTAGGGGCGGCCAAACCAAAACGTGGCATCAGTGCTTGTAGTCACTAACTTCTAGTCTGAGCCATGTTGGTAGATGCAGACTACTTGGTTGGGGTCCGCGTGACTATCGTAACCAATGGTTGGAGACTCTTGGTGACATGGCTCAGAATCGATCACAATGGCGTCGGTGTATACACTCCCTGTCTTCCCTTAAACTAAGAGATTAAATCACTTCATATCTTTCTTTCTACGAACTAATTCTTCCTTCCTATACTATATCCTTATTGCAACCTTTGACCTAACCACTCCTATGAATCCGGTGTTCATCTTGTTGTGCTAATGAGGTATGGCAACTTGGACCGATGCACATATGTGCCTGGTCCTACGTTGTAGCTGACTGACTGACTGACTGAATTTTAAATGATTGTGTCTGTTAAACCCTAAAATTAAACTGCTCCCGTTTCCCTAATCTTACGACACCACTTAAAGTATTGAAATAATTATCTCAAAAAACAAATTACTAATTTGCATCATATTTTGCTTTTGATGTAACTACGCGGATGTTTTATGTTGTAGTGGTTCTCATTTAGCCAGAAGGTACTTTGTGTACTAGGGGACCATACGGTGTATCGTGAATAAGGAGAGCTGGAAAAGAGGAAGTGGTCCAACGATCCAGTAAGCACACAGAATACACCTACATTTTATTAAGGAAATCAATAGACAATTATCTTCAATAACACAAGTCTCGGATTAGGATAACCTTGGGATCAAAATTACAAGCGAATAGTTTAGCCTGTTATAGTGTGAATAAACTAATGTTCGTTTAGTTTTCATGCCTTAGCTCAATAAATGATAACAAATCTACATCTTTAAACATATAACAGGCCATAACATTAAAGTGAATTAAGCCTATACAATTTCCATATATTCTTTGAAAATCGTAAAATACATTAATAAAGCATAACTTATTAAAATTGTGGACTAGTTATTCATAACTTAAAATACTTGTTTTTTATAGTTAAGGTGAATAATATATATAAGTATGTATATGTGAATAACTGTACATTAACTAAATTCGAGTTCAATATCCATCTTCCTGAAATACTCGTCAACATTTTTCTGGTTTTAGAAAGCTGCCTATGGACAACAATTATTCGATGCTGTTTGTACACATCTTGGTTTATTAGAGGTTGAATTCTTTGGCATCACATATTACGATTCAACTAATAATTGGGTGAGTGTTTTTATAAATATTCATCTAGTTGTTCTACTTACTGTTACGTCAAAATCTTTAAGTTACTAATGTTCGACATTGTAGAAGTGATTCTCAGTGGTTTTAATCATCTAATTCACATTCAGTTATTCACAGGTTTTAATTTCCCTTCACCATGTTAGGTCTGACCATTTGGGTGGTATGGTAATGAGCTTGTTTCATAAACTTGTTCGCAAATAATGTATTTGATTGTCAAAATGCTTTTTTGATACCATAAAACCGAAATTAAATCTTGACAAAAAAACATGTATAGGTTGGCCTGTCAGTTCCTTAAGTTCTTTGATCAAGGTCCAGTGCTCATGAAGTCATCACAGTTATTTAGCTTTATTTTCCTAAAATTTTGGATTACCTACACATCCAACAAATCTCCTGTATACCATAAATCTCTTTCCCTTGCTTCTGAAATTTTGTTTTATTCTTTTTATCATCATGTTTTCACTAACCTCATCCTTCTCCTTTGCAACCAATGCTATTGATTTAACCTTATAGAATGACATCTCTATTCTCATGAAACTGGTCTCCAAACTAAATGTTGAAGATTTCAGTCTCTTATCTCCTGCGTAAAATCAGTCTGTTATAGGAAGATTTATTAAGGAAATACATCAATTAATTGAACGCTCATTGCTAGACAAAATGCCATGGGGAACCCATCTACATTAGACATATCATGTAACATTTGTCATGACCATCCGCTTGACCTATTTTTACTTGTACTTGTCACGTTATTGCTGTCAGACTTAACGTTTTACTACTCCTGTAACCTTATCATCGACTTTGATTTTGGGAACATAACAGATCTATTTAGGGAGACCGTTAAAAAGTGCATTCTAAAGTAGTCCCATGATAACACGTCATTATTTATTTATTTTACTGCGAAGTGTTATTTAAAAACTAGTGACAGAACTACGCCAATCCCTAATTTACAATCCAAGATGAAGTTTTTGAAAACACTTAACAGTTTATGCAACTTAATTCATCATTTCTGATTTGACTTGTTGACTGGAAGGTTAGAGTACACTAACCACTCCAAAGATTATTTGCAATTATCATAGGTATGAGGGAGATAGAAAAAAATGTCAAGTAATCATACTACGTTCTCCTGTCTTCGAACTAGAAACAATATTTTAGCATAATTCAAAATCACTCTTATTCAGCAGTTAAACAGCACATTTGTATGAACTGAGTGAACAAAAAACCCAACAGATTTAGTCGCCTTATAAATTCTATGCGTACATACACAGTAGTTATATGATCACTTATTTTAAAATCATATACCTGAAGACTTTTGGTGTGTGAAAAAAGCTAAAATTGAGATGCAATAAATTGCAAAAACTTTTATGCTCTGTGTGTATTTTGTATTTGAGTTGATTATGTTTGTTGAGTGCATCATCTTGTCATTGATTAAACTACAAGGTGAATTGAGAATAAGAACATGTTTTTACATGGTGAACACAGTTTACCAATATATATATATATATATATATATATATATATATATATATATATATATATATATATATATATATATGGTTAATAAAATCGTTTGCAAAAAGCAGTTGCTTGATTTTCTACAATATAATTTTAAAATGCAGTGCGTATATGCCAGGTTCTGGGAGCAAAATACTAATTAACACTTCAAATATAACTTCCCAACACACCTCCATTAGATGATGTTAACCCGCGTAGAACTCATCCAAATAAATAGTTTTTTTCATTAAAGGGATAGATAGTCAATCAATCAAGCCTTATCACTGTAGAAACTTTCACGAGTAATATTGGATAAAGCGATCCAAGTTCCCCCTTTCAACACAAGATTAAAAAAGGGGGATTAGTAGTAATTAGAATGAAAATTTGTACGTGTAGTATAACAGCTCAAAAAAACATTGACGTGAATTTGAACAATGAAGTATTGGAAATTGACATCTAACCTTAAATTTACAAAGAAGTAATCAAGTGAATCCCAGCTTGCTGAGTGTCACGCAGTTCAGTCCTGCGTCGTTATATTACCCAAAAGTCACCTAGACAAACCGTTTTGTGTCTAAATTAGATAGAACATAAAGGAAAACCTTTCTCCGAAGTAGACCTATCAGTCGACACCAGAAAATGCTCTTTGGTCATTAGCTTAAAAAAACCATTTAAGTTTTTCTTAAAACAAGTGAATGTATTTAACACGAAAAACTGATTCCCTGTAGGTGCTTATGATAGGTTATCAAATGTATAGGTAGTAATTTATAACATGAAACTTAGGTATATTATAGGGTATTTTTATTCGACATGAGATGATATCGCGATCAGATCGATTTCGTTGAAATCACGAGCCGATCTAAGTTACACAATCATTGAAAACCTGAAATAACTGGATGACCGTTTTTAATTTAGAGCTCTGTTTAACAATCAACCTTGTGCATGATGGGTGCAACCATTTACGAACCTTCGTTTTTTTGACCATTGCCTAATTAGCTCCTATCTTTTCACGACTACCATCTCATCATTTCTATTCTCTTATTTTTTTATTGTGATTATCTAGTTCTGGCTCCAAACTGATCAGAAAATTGCAAAACAAATCGGTAGTAAGTTACCATACATTTTGTCAATATTACCGTCATCTTTTGAAGAGGTTCTGTGGGGATTACTTTTCGTTACCAATTGGTGTCAGTTAAGTGTACTATAGTGGGGTCGTTATCACACTGCTAACGTGTCTCATATCTGGGCGAAACATGTCCGACGGTATTTAATTTCTTTTCCTTGACAGATAATTCCCATTTAAACATCAGAATTAAAACACGAATTTCAGCGAAGGGATCTCTTTTCAACGAATTTATTATCAAGCTGTACAATCGTATATATATGAAAATTTTGTTTTTGTAAAAGTACTAATTCCGTGAGGAAATGTGAACACAGTTAATATAAAGGTTATAATACTAGATTACGTAATATGAATAATAACAATAACAATAGATTTAGTGATTATAATAAGATGATTAAAATGATTAAAATGTTTTTGATATAATAATTAAAGGTCAAAATTTTCATTTATATACGATTGTACAGCTTGATAATAAATTCGTTGAAAAGAGATCCCTTCGCTGAAATTCGTGTTTTAATTTCTATTACTGTTACCTCAAGTGTTGTCAGTTTGATGTCGAAAAGTTATCTACAAAAAATATATGAATAATTCATCATAAACAACTCATCTCATTAGTTCTCTTCTACAATTAAACATATCTGAAATGGTTGTATTTTAAACTTTGTTTATTCATTCGTGTAGGTTACCACCATTCTATTTTCCTGACATATCAATGGAGCATATACACTACTGTCTCTATACTGGAGTAGTATTCAAAAAATAATTTTATTTTCTTATTTCTGTTTCGTATTTTAATGTACTTTAATCAATTTATTTTCATATTCTGTTGTCCCATGTTAAGCAATTTTAATTAGTTGACAGAAATCTATGAACCTGTTTCATACTAGTCGCCACTTACTATTAGCAAGGCGCACATATAATCTTGAGGGTAATGATAATCGTGCTGTTTGAATATTTGTTTCACAGTCTGAGACATTACCACTGATCTTCTGTAGGACTGAAATATGTTTATAGTTGATTAATCACCGAGTAGTGACCAACGTCATATATGTCAAGTTCTTAGTTCTAATCAGATTTTATCGCTCAAGTTGAAATGTGGTCACGAGTCATAAATAACTCTACATCACGTGCGCTATGTTCATGTGTAAGGTGGTTGGAGACAGTCGCCAGGAGATTCTGGACTTAGGCTTCGTGTCATTTGGGACTTATCATCAAGATATACCTGTAATCCTGGAAGAACTGGTGCTCCGTGGCGGATTCGATCATATGTCTCCAAGCTTCATAGACAGAGACTTTACCACTGATCTCTTCGGGTCTCAACTTATCTCTTAAAGAACGGAGATTTTTTCGCAATATTGTATACATACTCTTAGACAATGCCGGTAATATAAAAATTCTCCTCATAGAATAAAGTGCAGAACTATTTTCTTAATCCAATTTCACAGTTGAATGAAGCACAAAGTCTTTAGGAATAGTGGTTATTATTTTTCGCTAATAATTTATGTACTAACTGGTTGAAAGAAACTGTGTGATTTAATAAATGATAATAACCGAATTGTCTGATATATTATTTGGTTTTTCTTGGCTGGCAAACAGATAATATCTAGTGAACATAAATCTGTAGATAAAGAAAATGATCATGGTGTTGTTGGTTAATGTTGTTATTACCACCGACCGCAGATCTTCTTATTGTTCAATAAGCTCTCAATCGCTTCCAGTGTTAATAATAAAAAAACCGATGTTATAAAAGAGATGATAAAGTATTAAATTAATTAGGAAAATATCGTATAGTTAATTGCTAAAACATATGCCTTGAAATATTTCACCTGTAAAGTAAACGTGTATAATAATGAATATATAGCTCTAAAACAATTGTTTCCTTCGATAAATCAACACCATGTGAATTGTCAGTTATCCTATTAATAATAATATTATTATTGTTACTATTATTGTCAATTACTTTACTACCCAACATAAAATAATGTTAGTTTTTATTAGTTAATATTTGTTAAATAATTATTTGTCACGATTGGTTTTCTAAACTGTTGGCTTTGATAACCATAGACTAGGGTATATTCTACTCTGTTTGTCCCACCGATCCACACTAATCAAATAGGAGGAAGGTTTCAAGAGTTTCATCATTTTAAACTCATTCAATTTTTGTTATAACTTGGTCCTAATGATTTTATAAGATTTCTAGTGAGATATTAGTTAAAACCACCCACAATGGCTGGAATCATTGTTTTTCATTGTCGTCTTTTACATTATAAATAATTTGTTAGTCCCTCTTCTGTTGATCCTCTAGTAGTAGTGACTTGCACCGATAAACATGAAATTATTTGTGTTGTTCTGATATATTTAAATTTCTATATAAATGAATTATTGTCAATTGGCTTAGATTACATTATCATAATTCTGTCATTATATAGAAAATGAATGGCAGTTTGAATTTCAAGTTAAATTCTATCCATGTGATATCGACTCAATCAAAGAAGATATAACACGTTACTATCTTTGTCTACAAGTACGGCAGGATATAGTTAGTGGACAGTAAGTAAAGTGATAATGTGTTTATTCGTTTGATTATTATTATATGCGAATATTGTAGCTGGCACAGCTATGATGAATATCTAAGCTAATAGGGTATGGCGACTTGAACCGATGTACATATGTGCCAGTTCCCACATTGTGAATGACGGATTTAATCAATTTTCAATTATTGCATTTAACTGGACTAATCTTTTCCCGTTTTTGATTCACATTTTCTCACAAATAGTAATTAAAGATTCCTCAAGAAATACGTGTTCAGTCATAAAATTAAAGATGCAAACTCATGTCTCTATTTAAATTTTTGGAATTGTAAATATTGTAGGTCATTTCCTTAATTTCAAAATACCTTAAATGAAGTTGTTACTGAAGTGTATAACTATTTATAAATCACTTTCTTTTGGCAGGAAATAGCTTGGATTAAAGTATGTTCCATGCGGGATTATGTTGGAGCACGCTGTTTAACCTATTCTTAACCAATCAGCACCAGCGATTAATTGAAGATTCTAGAATCTTCTCGTGTAAATTTATAAATGTACCAACGTTTTTCCTATTGCGCTTCAGTCCCATTCAACTTGTGTAACCTGGGATATAATTAATTACCCGTTCAAACCATGTTCTGATTTTGGGTACTTATTTAGTAAAGTATCTAAAAAATACTAAGCAATCAGGGTTGCTGGGTTGGATAATAAAAGATCTAACTCTCTCATTAGTCAATATTCACTACATTTGTTATGTGGTTGATTATGTTATAGAGAAATGTGAGGTCCTAGCGTTAGCGTTATGGCTTATTGATATCTATAAGCGGATTTTGGCATATTCACTTTTCACTTGGATCTTGAGTTTTAAAATTATTGACCCATAATGCCTTGATAGGTTTACATTTTCGTATAAATATTCATGTATATTGGAGTAAAGCCTGATAACGATCTAATTGAAAACAATTGTTCGCTTATATATGTTGTTCTAGTTTTAAAATTATCGTACTTTTTTTCTGCGGATTTTTTGTTTGTCGAGCTGAATTATCTATGCCTAGTCTCTTTAACTTCCACTAATATCGTTATTACTTCTAATACAACGGTATATGTCTTGATATTTCCATCTTGTTGTTCTGATATGTGTCAACTTAAATTAATATACATTTGTTCAAGTCTATAAATGACTTATGAACTGACTGACCATTTTCGTCTACTATGCAGTATGAATGAGAGTTATAAGTTCTTTTCAAAGGAAAATTTCGAACAGTTTGCACGACTCGACTCCACTCTGTTTAATGAAGTTCGAACCAAGTTTGACTAAATTAGCGAATGTTTAAGTAAGTTGCTCAATGACTCAGTTAATCCATGGAATTATTAGATAGTGATGTACATATTGTTTGGTGTTTGACAAAAGTCAAATACACACAAAGTAAACTCATTTTTACTTAACCAGAATGAAACAAATTAATAGCTTTCTTTTAATCTTCTGAGGATTACTCAATGACTAGAGATTATTTGTGAAATTTTTACTCTTCCATATAAGTTCAGATCGATATATGTTAGACCACTGTCGAAAACCTGGGAGCATTAGACAAATGTTTCGTCCTATTATGAGACTCAGCAGTGAGCATCCACGAATTCGCACCCAGTCTCACTCTTAATCGCTTAAACTCTAGAATATTGAGCTTAGATCGGTTCATGATTTGAATGTAATCCAACTATCTCCACAACTCTCAGACTGACATTCATCTTATCTCTTTAGCTTACATGTAGTGAAACGATACCTCATTAGGTTACTAAAACATTTGGATTCAGATGACGATGAGTAGCAGGTTGGAACCACTATTCACTCATTTCAATTTGAGCAACTGTATAGTATCAATAGTCTTAATTAAAATTCGTGATACAAATTGTTTAAGTGCATCAACATTTCTTGGTTAGCTATTTGCATTCCACTTGTTAATTATTAGAAAAGTTAACTAATTTACCAAGCGTATATTGGTATTCTCACCGTTGAGATCCTTTTTTTAAAGGATATATATACTAACCAGCTGCCTTTTAACCGAATGACCTTTGGGGTGGCTTAATCATTGAACTGTTGTGCTACTGCTCTATATTGACAATTATTTGTACACTACCAAAATATGTAAGTTATCATCATACTGGTCTTCATGCGAACTAGACATTCACCAGATTTATCTAAATAGCATAGATTCATCTTGTGCAACTCAGTTATAAGAACACTGATGCACTCCTGAAAGTGATATGCTGTTAGTGTCCTTTATAAAACTTTTTTTCGTTTACACATATTTTCATTTTCACTTTTCTGGAGGAAATATTTTGTTTCAAGTAAATTAAAGGCTTTTTCCATCGTTTTTATGAAATTCTTAGAAGCAAAACACCTTGCTCTCTTTTTCATGAAAAGACATTTTCAAAATTAGTTCAAAGTTCTTTCTTATTTTGTCGTTGGAATTAACACGTTTGCGTTCTTTGTTTGTTTACAAACAGACATTATTTCTATAAATAAAAATAATATATTTGTAATATCCCAATGAGTAGAAAATTGGATTTTTCTGACGTTTCGTGGCTTAGTGTAAGTCACTTCTTCAGAGAATAAATAACCAAATTAAATTAATCCAAATTTAAATAGTACTATTTAAACTTGGATTAATTTAATTTGGTTATTTATTCTCTGAAGAAGTGACTTACACTAAGCCACGAAACGTCAGAAAAATCCAATTTTCTACTCATTGGGATATTACAAATATATTATTTTTATTTATAACAATCAACCCAATGCTCAATTTATTCGAAATTATCGAATCAAACCTTGGTAATGACACCTACAGACATTATTTCTGTTGTTAAAACTTATTTAATTTATGGTTATTTTCATTGAATGGAATATTTATTGTGTACCACTCTGTAGTTTCGTTTTTATGTTAAGAATTATCACTCATATCTCATATATCGGCTTTCTCTAAGTAAACTTATTTTTTAATAGTTTTTGTGTCATATAGTGAGTCAGTCAGTCAGCTACAAAGCAGGATCAGACACATGTATGCATCTGTCCAGGTTGCCATACCTCATTAGCACAGCAAGATAAACACCGGACTCATAGGAGTGGTTAGGTCAAAGGTGGTAATATATAGGAGAAAGATTGCATATAAGGATACAGTACAGGAAGAAAGAATTAGTTCGTAGAAAGAAAGATATAAATTGATTTTAACCTCATAGTTGAAAGAAAGGTAAAGAGTGTATGCACCGACGCCATTGTGATCGATTCTGACCCATGTCACCAAGAGTCTCCAACCATCGGTTACGATAGTCACGTTAGCATTGCACAACGTGGTAATCGGTGTTCGGGCATACGTAACACGTGGCCCAACCATCTCAGTCGATGAAGATCCACAACCTCATCAACTGATTTACCATCATTACCTAATACCCTGCGTCTAACCTCACTATTGCTTACCTGGTGATCCCAACAGACGCCCGCAACATTTCTAAGGGATTTGTGGTCAAATATTAGTAGCTTACGGGTGTCTTCTACTCTTAAAGGCCATGTTTCGTTGCCGTAAATTAAAACAGAATGGACTGCCGCGCAGTATACTCGTCCTTTTATTGATAGACGGATACCTCACCTTCGTCATAGGTGACATAAGTTGGCAAAAGCCAAGCGAGCTCTTCGAATCCGTGCTGAGATTTCGTCAGACACCAACCCATTAGGGCTGATCAGACTTCCAAGATAAGTGAAGTTGTCAACGCGTTTGACTACTTCACTCCCTATCCTTAGTTCAGGTGTTGACGCAGACCAGTCCTGAAGCAACAACTTGCATTTAGAGGGGGAGAGAAGCGCATTCCAAACATTCTGGCATTGTTGCTTAGTGCTACCAGAAGACTCTGCATTTTGTCAGCGTCTTCACCAAACAGGACTATATCATCTGCGTATTCTAAGTCGACAAGTGGACCTCCTGAAAGGAGATCAATACCCGAGAATTCAGTCGACGAGAATGTCATTTCCATCAATATGTCTATGATGAAGTTAAAAAAAAATGGAGAAAGTTGAGAGCCTTGACGGACACCACTTGAGCTTGCAAAAGCAGATGACAGTTCGCCATAAGCTCTGACTCGACTGGTAGTGTTCGAGTAAAGAGCCTTTACAAGGTTTATGTACTTCTGAGGTACGCCTTTCAATGACAGGGTATCACAGAAACTCTCAGCCTACAGAGTCAAATGCTGTTTTTAATTCAAGAAAAACCATCGTTGTCGGACGTCGACAAGCATGCTTGTGTTCTAAAACCTGACGAATGGTGAATATGTGGTCGATGCAGCCACGACCAGGTCTGAAACCAGCTTGATTTTTTCGTGTTTGCAGTACACGAGTCTTAGTTAGGCGTCTGATAATTATCGAAGCTAGTATTGTAGATACTATATTAGTTAAACTAATCCCTCTATGGTTGTCACAAGATGATTTTGACCCTTTCTTATATGTTGGGACGATAAGTGATTGTGACCAGTCAGATGGGATTACGTCTAACTCCCAGATTCCAGCTAAAATATTAGTCAACCTAATCGCTAAAATTGGACCACCATCCTTAAAGACTTCTGGAGCCAATTCATCTGGACCAGCTGCCCTTCCTCGTTTCAGATTAACTATAGCCTTTTGAACTCCTGCTAGAGTTGGAGGACCTACTTCAATGTTCCATTCACACTGTCTGGGAATGGAGGGTAGTTGTAGAGTCGCTGAAGGCCAGCTGAACTGTTCCCTAAAATGTTCCGCCCATCGTTCTAAACGTCTGGACTGGGAGCAGATGAGAGTGTCGTCTTTTTCCGAAATAATCTCACTTACACTTGACTTATTAATTCCAGTTTCTTTTATTAGTCTGTAAAGCTGTCTTGTGTTCCCTATAGTCGCCGCCTTTTCCATCTCTTTTGCTTTCGTTACCCATCACTGCTCACGGTCGTTTCTTAGACTCTTGGTTAACCTAGATCTGATTTGTTTTCGCTCTTCATCATGTTCGGAACCTGATGGGACGAGTTTGCGAGAATCCATCAGTGTGATAGACTTTGAAGAAATCCACTGGTTCTTTGTAACTCTGTGGTTTAAGTCACTAATAGATTTCATTGCTGTTTCCACAGCTGTTTGTATAACTTTCCAGGCAACATCTGGGTCAGCCTCGTTTTCACAACTACCTAAGTGTGACCTCAGTTGTTCCTGGAACCTACTTTGGTTTTCTTGTTACTCAACTCAGTTCTAATTGGTCTTTTTAATGTGGCTTTTTTGCGTCCAGTGAGGCGCAAGCAGATGCGTGCCCGTATTAGGGCATGGTCGGAGTCCAAGCAGGTACTCCAGAATGAGCGACAATTTTCTACCGACCCTCTCCAACGATGACTGATGGCAATATGGTCTATTTGAGTCCATCGTTGGTTTGGTGTAGGGGATCGCCATGTTAGACGATGTCTCTCCTTATGCTTAAAATTTGTGTTTGCTAAGAATAAACGATTGTCTGAGCATAGTTGCAGCAGACGATCACCATTATCTGTTCGTTGTGCCGGTATACTAAAATACTCACCTAAATGCCTTTCTGTTTGGTTTAAACTACCATCCCTAACCAGTAATCGCAATCATCTTGTGTACTATAACAACTAGGTAGTTTGCATCTACTTACATGGCCCTGACGAACAGTCAATTGTTTCATGAACTAAAACCATATATTACTTTACCCGTTCCTACCTTTTCTACAACCTACTCCAACAGCAATAAATAACAATTGTCGAGGTAAGCGTGACACATATAACTTGACACTGTATGACTTTGGTGTATCGTTGCTGAAGTTAACTGGAACAACCAAGATCCTTGGCCAAAGAGTTAAGATAATGCTCTATCACTTGATCAAAAACATTGTTATTATTTGCCTTCTCAGAGAAGCCTGAATTTACAAATGTGTTGGTGTCTTAGACAATTTTTGCTGGTTTAGTTGTCTGTCATATCTCAATGACGAAACGTTTGATATCGGTTAGAATTTTGTTATAAACTTTAGACAGGAACATACGGGCTTATTGTTACTCGTGATTTTTATATATGCATAGTTGTCATGGGATTTTTGCAGAGTTTGTTAAACGGTATATACGTACATATTTACTCATCTGCTGTCGTTGGTGTATGAATAAATGAACAAATCTTATAAAATCACTGGAACGTTGCTAGCTGAGGAATTTAAGGTGAGTTCCGTCCTATTTGCAGCTCATCAGCCAGATGTACATAAGTCTCCCAGTCCAGTACTTTTCTCTTCGGACACTGATTATTTGAAGAATGATAGAAAACGGTTAAATAAACGGACATTTTTGCAGACGAAGGGCAATGAAAATTTTTATAATTAAAATAACATTACGACAACAAATACGGCTTTAAGTTAACTTAAATAATCAATCCGTTTTCGTTATACATAAATTAACTTTAATTTTTTAGATAAACAGCTTATCAATCTTATCTGTCATTTATTATTTTTTATTTCTCTGTATGCTTCTACATTAGTTCTTGACATCCTTTTCGTTTTCGGTATAAGATTTATGTCGGAGATTGTTAAGTTTCCATCACTTACATCATGGGATAATCCTAGTCAAATGACCATTAAAGATTAGGAAGCATCGGACAGATGTTTCGTCCTAACACGAGACTCAGCGGTGCTCACTCATGGACAAATCGGAGATCTATCTCTAAATACCGTCTGAGTGGTCCACAGGTTAAGCGCATGCTGCGAAACCTAAGGTCCTGTACCCGATCTGCTGTTGGGCGTGCATGTGAATCGCTGGAGAGTTTCTATTTATCTGTATAATTTCATTTTCACTTCAGTATTTTCAAACCAACAGAGTAAAATGTTTATTTAGAAAAATCTCACTTTGATTTGTTATATATTTGTTTATTGGATTGTCTACTCATGTTTACTGTTATCAATTTATATTATCTTGAACTTTTTGTCGATAGCTCAGTCATGAAAGCGTTCGACCCACTACGTCCCAAGTTTGAACACTTTTCCCCGAACTTCGCTACCGGAAACCGGGTAGTTTTATCGCCACCCACAATTAGAGTATGTGACCCATAATTAAGTACTCGACTAAGGAGTTCATTTAATTTAATTGTTGGTTAGTCCAATATTCTTTTTTTCGAAGAGCATTATATTTTCCATAAATTCCCAAAAAATCGTTTAGTAGTTTGTCTGACAAGGTTCTCTCTATGATATCCTCAAAATAATGAGTTTATTCTGTTAAGAAAATGTTTTCCGAACTATATATATTTAAATGTGTGTACCAGTAATAGAAACTTGTTTACACTTTCGTCTTATTTAGGCTTCCATGTTCATTTGTAACTTATTGCATTCTTGGGTCGTATATAGTTCAATCAGAAGCTGGCGACCATGATCCGACTCAACATATTGGCATAAAATATATACAAGATCATCCATTTGCTCCTCATATGCTTCAAACACCTGAAATGTTAGGAAGAATTGTTGAACTACACAAACTTCATCGGTAAGTTATATATACTTTTTTGGTATGAGATTTCGTGTGGGATGTACACTACGCGTAACAAAAACACATCTTTGCTAAAATTACATCAGATATTTGTCTGAATATTATTTCTTGTTTGCTTCACCGCCTTATCATTTTTGCGACATTCATTAAATGCTAACATTATATAGCTGTCATCATTTAAAACCAGCTTAGTGTTAGAATTCTGGTTCCTTGTATATATTCAGCCTACCTGCTCATGGACGTTAGTTAAACAAAGGGTTATTTTTTTAAGACCGAAAATACAATAAATGCTTCATAAAACTCGAATACTCCGTACAATTTAATTAGCATTAAGATATTTTCAGTCAATAAGAAATGATGTAATATTTTTTTATTGATATATTTTGTTAGCATGATTTCTCTCTCCCTGTTACTCTTTTACCATACTGTCACCACGTTCTATTCACATTAAAGGGCGTCATCTTATTTATATGATACCTAGTTAACACTACGTCCTAATAAACTCAGTCAGTCAGTAACAACGTAAAACTTCGTGCGTACGTACGTACCTCATTTCAAGTTGCCATACCATACAATACAATTTTGTCAAACCCTTTTATTAACTTATTTAAGACAGCGTTATCCGAACAGTAACAATTTGTCTATTTCTTTGCATCATTATGATCACTATCATGTCTGTACACACGTGTGTTATGATCACATGTGACTGCCTGCGCAAATATTCCTCACACTAACTTAAATGTTACTCACTTAAATGTCGCTCGATGAATTATTCGCTCTCCCATACATATATGTGCTTGAATCTTTCTAATTGCATTTGCCTTGCTTTGCATCGTCTCGATTCGATTTGACTCTAAATCCACCTCTGTATCCGTTTGCTCACTCTCATTAACCTCTCTGCTCAGATACTCTTGATATGCTTGTAACTTTGTTATCTGTGCTATCCAATAAAATGTAGTCACCGCATCGTATTGCCTTCTGAATTCGTACACCGTCGGAATTAATCTGATAACGGTTATCAGAGTGATTAGTAATCGAAGCCAAGCCACTACAACAGGTATTTTAGATGTTAGATTAATTAGAAGTTTCCTGTAATCTTTTTTAAATGTATGTTGCAAGATCGTATATTTTTGTGTAATTCTTCAATTTCTAGACAGATTTATTCGTAGTCGAATTGTTTAATTTTTTTTATGCCAACTATCGCCAATCGTGACTTCTACGTTGTGGACGCAAACTTATAGACAGTAAACCAATTTATTATTTTTGCAAAATCATACGGTAGCTTTGTAAAATATGTAAATCATACACTAAATACGTCATTTACATATCTTGCTTTACTTATCTTTTGCATACTTCATAATTTTTCCGATACTCTTCGTTCTCCTTCCTCTTTTTATTTCGCTTTACTGATGGTAAATATTCTAATTCACGCTACATAATACTTATATCTGTACGCATATGTTATGTAAGTCATATGCAAACTCAAATTACACTTCTTAAACTCCTTATCCACCATAAAATAATACTGTTTACTTTTCATGTCATTCTTTCTTTTTTGTTCTCTCTATCTAGTGGTAAAACACCTGAGGAGGCTGATCGTTTATTTTTAAATAATGCTCGTAAATTGGCCTTGTATGGTGTTGATTTGCATAAAGTTAAGGTGAGTTACTTTGATTGTGTATACGTGTGTGTTCTGTTTCACTTCATCCAACCATCCATGTTTACTTGTTTTTCTCCTGAATATATGTAACACGTTTTATTTAAATCATAAACTGATCTCATTTAGATCATCATCGGAACAGCTGTTTACTCTTAGCACTGTGACTTCTCTTTAGTGTTGATCCAAGAACGCGCAACTGGGAATTGGACGCTACATTATGTCTTACTCTTAACCTCTAGACCACCTACCTGGCATTCCAAGGTGTATACACCCAACTTCAGTGAATTCACGATGTTGCGCGGCCATCTCAGATTGTCTTCGAGGATTACTTATTTCATAGCTGATGCGGTCGACATTGTGTTAGTTTGCATGTAAAGCTTACTTAAAAGATATTTTTAATAGGCCTAATTCAATATGATAGAGTCAGTTAATGTATATTTAATAAAAGTAATTTTCTACTCATCTCATATCCACTGGTGTTGGAATCGTTTCAACGAACTTCAGACACATACTAGCATAGTAAGATAAAATTGTCACGAGAAATGCTAGATTAGTGGTAGAATCGATTAGGCATAATATTTGAAAAGAATGAATTAGATTTGTTCATGTAGTGTTATTACTTGTGACCTGTATGCCCTGTTAATGTATAATGTAACGATACCGCCAATTAGAGAGCAGTGAATTATCTATCGGACCAATGACGCGTAAACCCGTATGAGCAGTCTAGAGTATTTATCGGTCCTTCTTCCTGCCTAGCCCAGTCAGTTAAGTCGAGAACACCAATCTCAGCCTCTGAAATACAAATCATTTATTTCAAGCATACGGGGTTTATATACCAATCAGACAGACCACATCGTACCATAAAATAGGAAACAACATTTGTACAAGTTTTGGTCAAATGTGGCTGTGAATGTGGGAGGTAGTAATTAATAGACAGGGCATAATTCAAGAATGGTAAATCGTATAATAATAGTTCATAGTTCAAAATAAAGCTCATAATAAAAGGGACATGAATATGTATAGTTTAGTTATTTAACAATTATACGATAAAAATATACACATAGTATTGGTCCATAAATGGATCTCAAAAGTTACCATTCATTATGCTTAACTGGATCTAACAAGTAGATAGTTTTTGAAACTCAAGATCTAAGGGAAAACAAGGAGTGAATTTATCTACTACTAATTGTTACCGATTTCTAGTCCTGTCGCTTGATATCTTCACAATTCGTTACAATAACTCAACCATGTAGCACATCCCCACTAACACAATGTAATTCAAATAACATGTAGTGACTTCGTAAACTAATACCACATCAAAGTTTAGTCGCTTTTAGCTTTCTTCCAACATACACCTACACTACCAAACATCAAGACAGTCAGTTGTTTTGCACTAATATAATTCAAACAAAATTACTACCAAAACTACGGTCTTCATTATTCGACTATCAAGGAATAGTTGACAAATGCTTGAATCCTTTATCGTAAGAAATTTCAGTTATGCTTATGTGTTGTTTTTCTAAGGGTGTATATTTACGACTTTTGAAAACCCTTCGCACAATTTTGTCGGTTACTAATCTCTAATATGCAAATTTTTGTCTGCCCAACAAAACTCAATTTCCTGAACACAACAACCAATAAAATTATACTTCTGTCTATCTTATCTGACAGAATCTCTGAAACCACTACCGAAATTTACTCAACTAAATTTTTGGTGGTAGTGTAGCTGTTTAACTAATCAAAATCTATATAGGAGGCTTTGAGCTATAATTTTTCTGGCAGAGCGAGTTCATTTCATTCGACTACTCAAATCGAAGTAATCAAAGCAGAGCTCGGACCCGCAAATGAATGAAAAATTAGTGTTTATATACCACCACCTTTTTTAAGCTATGCAAATGCATTCAAGAAGTCGCAGTCATACACAGTTACGGTACATTGAAATTGTCAAGAGTATCTATACTGTAACAATATTCGTGTCTTCGTGATGTTCATGTTACTTCTAGCCTCGTGTTTTGTAGAATTAGTTGTGAAGCCTGACCATTACAGCCACGTGACATGAAAACTAAACTCCTACCACACCATTCACTCAATTTTTTAGATATTAGTTTTATTGCTTCATCCAATTGTTTAAGTACTAAATGGTTCCTCTGTCCCATATTGTCTTGCTATCTCCACCTACATCTTTCTGTGCATTCATAATCAACCTCCGTCTTCACTGCCTATTATTCCTCGTAAATCGATTTCAAACTCTAAACTTCTTTTTTCGGCTTCCCCCCTCAAGTGTCCCATAGTCAACGATTCTAGTGCTCAAAACACTGTCCCAGGTCTACTGAAATCTCGCTCCAAACTACACATTGGAGCTTTCAACGTACGCACTCTATGTCAAATCGGTCAGCAGGCTTCCTTGGCTAAAACCCTAGAATCTCGTACCATTGATGTATGCTGTGTCTCCGAAACACGCATACAGGATCCCAGTGTGGTCATTCACTTGACCTCACCTCGGCAGAACGGAGAGCCAACGAGATACACCCTCCGTGTATCTGGTGACCCGATGGCCAGCTCTCGTGGACTGACAGGAGTAGGGATAGCACTAAGCATGAGGGCGGAACAAGCACTGTTAGAGTGGATCCCCGTCAACAGTCGTCTGTGTGCTGTTCGGCTAAACGGCTCCGTAAGAACTCGGAAGGATAGGGACACACGTCGTTGCCTTTTTGTCGTTTCTGCCTACGCTCCCACCGACTGCAGCCCAGATGAAATGAAAGATGAATTTTACAGAAAGCTATCTGAGCTTCTTCAGAAAGCTAAACGTTCAGACATAGTACTCGTAGCAGGTGACTTTAATGCCCAGATAGGTAGTTTAAACCAAACAGAAAGGCATTTAGGTGAGTATTTTAGTATACCGGCACAACGAACAGATAATGGTGATCGTCTGCTGCAACTATGCTCAGACAATCGTTTATTCTTAGCAAACACAAATTTTAAGCATAAGGAGAGACATCGTCTAACATGGCGATCCCCTACACCAAACCAACGATGGACTCAAATAGACCATATTGCCATCAGTCATCGTTGGAGAGGGTCGGTAGAAAATTGTCGCTCATTCTGGAGTACCTGCTTGGACTCCGACCATGCCCTAATACGGGCACGCATCTGCTTGCGCCTCACTGGACGCAAAAAAGCCACATTAAAAAGACCAATTAGAACTGAGTTGAGTAACAAGAAAACCAAAGTAGGTTCCAGGAACAACTGAGGTCACACTTAGGTAGTTCTGAAAACGAGGCTGACCCAGATGTTGCCTGGAAAGTTATACAAACAGCTGTGGAAACAGCAATGAAATCTATTAGTGACTTAAACCACAGAGTTACAAAGAACCAGTGGATTTCTTCAAAGTCTATCACACTGATGGATTCTCGCAAACTCGTCCCATCAGGTTCCGAACATGATGAAGAGCGGCAACAAATCAGATCTAGGTTAACCAAGAGTCTAAGAAACGACCGTGAGCAGTGATGGGCAACGAAAGCAAAAGAGATGGAAAAGGCGGCGACTATAGGGAACACAAGACAGCTTTACAGACTAATAAAAGAAACTGGAACTAATAAGTCAAGTGTAAGTGAGATTATTTCGGAAAAAGACGACACTCTCATCTGCTCCCAGTCCAGACGTTTAGAACGATGGGCGGAACATTTTAGGGAACAGTTCAGCTGGCCTTCAGCGACTCTACAACTACCCTCCATTCCCAGACAGTGTGAATGGAACATTGAAGTAGGTCCTCCAACTCTAGCAGAAGTTCAAAAGGCTATAGTTAATCTGAAACGAGGAAGGGCAGCTGGTCCAGATGAATTGGCTCCAGAAGTCTTTAAGGATGGTGGTCCAATTTTAGCGATTAGGTTGACTAATATTTTAGCTGGAATCTGGGAGTTAGACGTAATCCCATCTGACTGGTCACAATCACTTATCGTCCCAACATATAAGAAAGGGTCAAAATCATCTTGTGACAACCATAGAGGGATTAGTTTAACTAATATAGTATCTACAATACTAGCTTCGATAATTATCAGACGCCTAACTAAGACTCGTGTACTGCAAACACGAAAAAATCAAGCTGGTTTCAGACCTGGTCGTGGCTGCATCGACCACATATTCACCATTCGTCAGGTTTTAGAACACAAGCATGCTTGTCGACGTCCGACAACGATGGTTTTTCTTGAATTAAAAACAGCATTTGACTCTGTAGGCTGAGAGTTTCTGTGATACCCTGTCATTGAAAGGCGTACCTCAGAAGTACATAAACCTTGTAAAGGCTCTTTACTCGAACACTACCAGTCGAGTCAGAGCTTATGGCGAACTGTCATCTGCTTTTGCAAGCTCAAGTGGTGTCCGTCAAGGCTCTCAACTTTCTCCATTTTTTTTTAACTTCATCATAGACATATTGATGGAAATGACATTCTCGTCGACTGAATTCTCGGGTATTGATCTCCTTTCAGGAGGTCCACTTGTCGACTTAGAATACGCAGATGATATAGTCCTGTTTGGTGAAGACGCTGACAAAATGCAGAGTCTTCTGGTAGCACTAAGCAACAATGCCAGAATGTTTGGAATGCGCTTCTCTCCCCCTCTAAATGCAAGTTGTTGCTTCAGGACTGGTCTGCGTCAACACCTGAACTAAGGATCGGGAGTGAAGTAGTCAAACGCGTTGACAACTTCACTTATCTTGGAAGTCTGATCAGCCCTAATGGGTTGGTGTCTGACGAAATCTCAGCACGGATTCGAAGAGCTCGCTTGGCTTTTGCCAACTTATGTCACCTATGACGAAGGTGAGGTATCCGTCTATCAATAAAAGGACGAGTATACTGCGCGGCAGTCCATTCTGTTTTAATTTACGGCAACGAAACATGGCCTTTAAGAGTAGAAGACACCCGTAAGCTACTAATATTTGACCACAAATCCCTTAGAAATGTTGCGGGCGTCTGTTGGGATCACCAGGTAAGCAATAGTGAGGTTAGACGCAGGGTATTAGGTAATGATGGTAAATCAGTTGATGAGGTTGTGGATCTTCATCGACTGAGATGGTTGGGCCACGTGTTACGTATGCCCGAACACCGATTACCACGTCGTGCAATGCTAACGGGTTTTAGAGATGGTTGGAAGAGAATTAGGGGTGGCCAAACCAAAACGTAGCATCAGTGGTTGAGGACACTAACCTCTATTCTGAGCCATGTTGGTAGATGCAGACTACTTGGTTGGGGTCCACGTGACTATCGTAACCGATGGTTGGAGACTCTTGGTGACATGGGTCAGAATCGATCACAATGGCGTCGGTGCATACACTCTTTACCTTTCTTTCAACTATGAGGTTAAAATCAATTTATATCTTTCTTTCTACGAACTAATTCTTTCTTCCTGTACTATATTGTTATATGAAATCTTTTATATATTACCACCTCTGAATTAACTACTTTTATGAATCCGGTGTCCTTCTTGTTGTGTTAATGAGGTATGGCAACTTGGACCGATGCATATATGTGCCAGGTCCTACGTTGTAGCTGACTGACTGACTGGCTTAAATCTATATTTCATTAATATGTGGGAAACAATGAAACTCCATTATCTATTAACAAATAGTGATTTACTTTTTACTGAATGATATAAATTTATTGAAATATAATTTATCATGAGTCATTACTTCTTTTAATGCATTATATAAGTGAATACCGAAATTGGTTTATAGTATTTGGCCGACTAGTCAGTCATGGTATCATATCCTCAACTGAGCGATAAACAGACAGACAAATGTTTTGTAAAGTCCAAGCAGTCCAACTATCTAAAATTAAATTAATGTTCCACATTCTTTGGTTTATTCATTTATCTATATCTTGAATTCCACTAGATTTTAAATTACCAGACTTCATCACTTATCTAATTGCCACATAAATGCATACGCAAATTGACTTTGTACGTGTTTATGTTCGCGTCTACATGTCTGTGTATCTACTATTATCAAAATTAGATTGGTTGTTTGCTATTAATGTTTTGTCTTATTATCTGTCGTTGATTCACAAATTTTACTAATCAGTTTTTTTATTTATTTATGTAGCTGGCCTTATTCGTAGGATTTTTAAACATTAAATAAGTGACGTTAACGTGTTACACATTTATTTGGTTTATCCATTTGAACTTATTGTTTAGGTCGTGTTTAACTCTTCCATATATTGCATTAATATTAGTTTAATATATCAAATATATGAATATGTAAAACAAATATAATTACTAGCTGAGTATTAGTATTATTTGGGGGGGCAGGTAGGTAGTAGCCCACATAAATTTACCAGAACTGCTAGTCGACTCGTAGATAATCAATCAACCTAAATGAAACCAGCTAAGACATATCAATTATTGATAGTTTGTAGAATTAATTATTTTAAACGCCAAATAATCAAATCAATGGTTAACTCACGAAAGAATAGGATACGTGCCTGTGAATTTGTTGTGCATTCAACCCTCAGTGTTCTATTCATTTATTGAGTTGATACTAAATATTAGAGCATCGTTTTCCCTGAATGTTTCATTTCAAGCCCCAACTTTCACTTTTTTCATTCAGCGAATTGAGATGTGCTACGATCAGGTGTTGACAGAAGACATGTAGATAGCGTTAGATGGTAAAATGAAATCCACGATGCAGCACTGACACAATATATGAGCGGGAAGATGTTAAATATCACACTTTTACTGAACATTGAAAGAAGATAGTTATCCTCAACATTTCCGAACCGTAAATTAGAATTACACTTCATTTATTTTTGGCCTGCCCAGTTGGATGATGTCAATGGTGCTTTTGCAAATAAAAAAATTCGTTCAAAGCGAACTACATAAATTCATAACAGCTTATACTAATTACGGTACCTCGAATTGATCGGTGCATTTGGAGTATGAAAGTTAAATTATTACTGGAAGTCCTTTGCTTTAAATTCCATAATGATTGAAACACATTATTTTCAACTTTATTGATGTGTTTTCACCACAATACACACATTTGAATTCATTGAGTGTCCAAGTAATTCGGTTCGAGTTTCATTTGCCTTATTGTAACTACTACCTCGATTTAGTCGTTAGGATAACCCATAATAAACAAACCCTTTCGAGCTCTATTGGATGGAATATTCGATCCTTTAGATTTTACCATTCTAGCCAAGTTGTTTGGAGAACGACATCAAACTCGTACTCCAAGAATGATGTTTGTGTAAGAGTCTTGTGATAGTAAGTTGTTTCGTTCAAACAGCTAGAATCTACAGGAGGACGACGTTAGTAATAGTCATCGCAGGCATATTTGTAGATAAGGATAAACACTCCGTTTGAATATTCAGTTATTATTTCTTCGGCAGATCCAGAAAACTCGAAAAAAACTTTGAAAACGCTAAGAAACATCATATTCAATTAGCATTCAGTATAAATTTTTCCATAAACATCTAGAAAGTGAAAAGTCACATGTCGAGTTTCTGGTTGGATGATTACCTTTACTGCCACTATGTTTAGTAGCGTTCCAGAGTTTTCCGAAAACCATTGGCCATCTAAAACACTATGAAGACCCTAGATTTTCTGCACATAAACGAACCTTTGTAGGAAAGCGTTTCTTCCATATTTAGAGCCTTTTCTCTCACGTTGAGTTGCTGTGTAGATCTAGCCCGGAGTTTACTAGAAGAACTTAGGAACCGAATCTAGCGTTCAATTAGAAGACTTATCATTATTCTCCTGCCAAAAGATTATCAACTTAAATTACACTGCTGACATGATTCTATTCTGTGCAAACTAACAAAATTCGTAGTAATAACAAAAGAATATATCTGTGATGAACTTCTCTCTTACTACGTGTAACATCTTACATCAATGTTGAGTTTGGTGCCTAATAATTAAATAAATATTCAAGCCTGGAGGTCTCACCAAATCAGTCGGTGTCTCTGACAAAATCTCAGCGTAATACAAGAACTTCATGTGGTCTTCACCAACATGAAATACAAATGGTACCAGTCAAATATCCATCTATACCTGAAGAGGTGATAGTCTTCTACTCATCAGTTTACCCTACTGTTATTTTTTTGTGAAATTTAGTCTAGTAAATGTTAGTGACATGCACTTCACAAGATAAATTCATAAATAGTATTAAACACATCAAATCGATTAGTGCGTTTATCACATATTCCACAGATGGTTAATGTTCTCTTTCTATGCAAGTTCATAAAATTTCGCGTCGTTTGTTACACGTACATTGAATTTTTACACTATAAACCACCAAGTTGTGAAATTCTAAAGTCTCATCTCTTGTATCGCTTACTTGGTTTTTGGTTTTACACATGCATAAGAAAATTATGAATACACACAAGTAATTTGCTCTTTGTGATTGTCTAACGGATATATTTTTTCAACTTGCATTTATTTCCATCATGTTTTACAGTAATTAGAATATAATAAATGAAATAGATCTATGTTGTGAATGTGTACAGATTTCTATTGAGGATGGTGGTGTTGATCCACAAAATAAATGTAATTGTGAACTTCACGCGTGCATATTGGATCTGTTTTCAACTATATTGTTGTTAGATTGTTAGTTTGTTTTTATGCTTTCACTAGAAAATCTTCGTCTGGTCGTGTGTTTAATGCAACTAAAATGTTCGATATCTTTTCCCTATCAAATACACTTGATTTTTTCATGAAAAATGACAGTAACCGACAGAATTGCTATTTCGTCACTCGTCTCTTTATCCCGATTGAATTGAGCGCAGTTTGTTTCTTCGTGTTAAAAGAAATAAACCCAGCCCAGTAGCCAAAAGATCGTCTTGAGTTCACTAACTCAGTGTACACTAAACATATGTGATATTAATGCTTTTACTAGTATTTAAAATTATCTTATTGACATCGGTCATTAACAACAGAAGATTGAAAATATCATCTTAGTACCCTGTTCAATTTTCCACTTGATTCCACAATATTAAATATCAGTGGAAGTGAAAGCGCAGAACTAATTTATATATAGTTGAGGTTTTATTTAATTTTATGCCACACAGACTCAACTTTTGACTAAGACTAATCAGGTTATGGTGTAAATTTCATAAGGTGAATAAATTTTTTAGTTTGCAATTACTAATATGTATATTTATAGTGTTCCCTCAAAACTCTAACTTACTTGGTTCTACTTCAGTGTTGTTTTCTCTCTATTTATCTCACCCATCATTTAGAATAAATTATACAGTATTAAGTATTATAATATTTTCAGAGTTTCTTCATCCAATGTTCTTTTTTCGTCGTTTTTTTACAGACGTCTCAAGGTCAAGATATTACTCTAGGTGTTTATTATGGAGGTATCCTGCTATACCGTAATCGTATTCGTTTAATGAGAATTAGTTGGCCGCGTATTATAAGTCTATCACATCGTGGACGTAATTTTATTATTGCACGAAGACCTGGTGATGATTCATTAGATCGTAATATGACTTTTAAATGTATTAGTCCTACACTGGCTAAACGATTATATAATGTTTGTGTGGATCATCATAATTTTTTCAGGTTAAACATTTTTTTCGTTGCTTAATGATAATTCTTTTGCATACAGTATATATATATATATATATATATATATATATTCATTATTATTTTTTCTACTTCAACTTCCAAAATACCGCAGTGTTGATACGTTGGACTTGCTGAAAAATCGTTGTTGTTTCCTTCGTTTTGTTTTATTGTTTATCATAGAATCTAACACTATTTCTATCGACCTCTGTAGTACACTCGTCTAGACGAATATATCTCTTGAATAAGCTGATTTCATTGGACAAGAAAATTATCCATAAATGTCAATGAGCATTCACAGTAATTGGTTGTAATGCCTGTCAACTGAGTCATTGATTTGAACAGTTTAGAGGTTTCTTATCGTTCCTACTCTTGTTTATCTTAATTTCATACCTATGGATTCGGATTTTTAGTCAGTTAGTTTAAAGAAAATTTTATCAGCGTAACTATAATACTGCATGTTGTAAAAACTTTGACCTTTAAATTGTTTTTAAAATAAATATCTTTTATCGCAAAATACATTTGATGATATCTAAGCTGACGGAAATGAAACACTGATATTTAAGACATAGATTAAAAGTAAAATTCATGTTTATTCAAACACACAGATTCGCTCCAACTCATGGGACTAAAAAATGGCCTTGAAACTATTGCAAGGGCTTTGGTCTGGGCACCCGGGTAGCATCACACCCCATACACAAATCAAGTGACTTGTGTGGCGCATATGTATTTGGTGCCCTTTTGTTCCAATATTTATGTGTTCAAATATATAAATAGGTTACAGAGGCTGACAAACAGCCGAAGTAAATAATACAAAAGAAAATCAGTAACTTCTGTAGTAGTTTTGTACAATCAGAATGCAAATGCCTATAGATCTTATTATATCCATTTTATTCTTAAGAAAGCTAACCAACCTATTCAAAGAGGTAAATTCCCACTTAGGTGATTCATGGAAAAAAAGAAACATAAAAATTACAGCTAGTGGGATATGAGCAATCACGAATATGATAGAAGGGATTGTAAAATTCAACTATTTCTTCTAACATTTTCGTTGGAGATTTACGTTATCTGGAAAACTGACAGCCACTAGACAATCATTAAATTCTAAATTGGGATTCATCACAACTGTGCACACCGTGACTCAGAATGTATTCAATTATTAATCACTAGATCAAAGGTTCTAACCTCACACCACTTACTTTGGTTCAAGAAACCGAGTAGTATCACAAACTGTCACACATAAATTGGGATTCATAATCAAGTACACGAATCTGTACTCAGTAATTAAGTTGCATCAGTTTTCGGCTTTCTACTTCAATCAAGCCATGATACATAGCGTGATTTTCATTCCTTTGTAACCGATATGTTATTTTCGACCTAATTGACTTTAGAGGGTGGTGGGCTATGATATTGTACCAGATCTTGACAAAGTCCATCTCAAATCTTGTCACTAATAAACCCAAAGTTACGTTTATCATTATTAAATGTTGTGTAGTGGGTTTGTGGAGACTTTCACATTGACGATATATTTTTATCATAAGCTAATCTAATGTCATTTGAATAACAATTGAAAAGTAAGAACCATTAGGTCGACTATTTTGTAACAAGTTTTGTCTGTATATATATTGTTCTTCAGGAAAAAACATAATATTGAATGATCCGTTATACGCAACGTAGAATCTGGCACATGTTTACATTGATTCGATTTGCCATACCCTAATTGCACATCGAGATGAAATTGCCTAGAGTAGTGGAGAAAGTGATGACAGCATTAATAGTCATAGAGAAAAGTTAGACATCGAAGATATGATTCGAGAAGAAAGTATAGTTTATCGGAGTGAAAAGAAACTTTATACGGGATGACAAGGAATGAATGCATTTGCGCCAATGGGAACAATTCGGAGCCTTATCACCCAAGGTCTCTAACACTAGTCGTGGAATGTCATTAATAAGCTGTTTCACTTGATTGTTGACTGTCTTGCTCTGATCGTCAATTAATTTGTAGTGCTAATCTAATTACACTGTCAGCCAATCGAAATATAGTTTATATGTTCACAATGTTTTCAGACATTTTATCTATTCCATTGTAAGCTAGATACTGTACACTGGTCAACCCATTTAGCTTTGTGAAGAAGAAGAAACACTAATCCGAGATTATATTTAAAATTTATCATGCCGCATTTCAAATTTCTTCCTGTTTTTCATTTGGGAAAATATGTTTATTCAATTACTTATAAATACGAAAAATGACTTTGTATAGGTTTTTTACGTCAACCAGGTTAAAGCCATTGATTTTTCCACAAATATATATTCATCTGTTTCTCGACAATTCGGAATCTTTTTATTTGATTTAAGGATAAGAAAAGCCACTGGTACATCGCAGTATTGTTTTCTCTCAAGTTTTCATGAATTGTTGTATCCTATTCTTCGACCTAACCTTGCTTTTTGTTATTATGATTGTTATTACGATTATTTTGATTTACGTATGTTTACATAGACTTCGTGGGTCGTCTAGGCCGAAAAAACCGAGTTTATTCCCTTCGTTTGCTACTCGCAAATATCATTATCCTGGCACAACTGTGAATTCATCGTCGATTGACGCTACTGTCGGTGTCGGTGGACATAATCAAACATCTCGACCTTTATCTAAATTTCGTCCAATGCCTGCCCATCCTTCAGAGACTGGTAAGAGTAATAGATAAGTTTCATTTGTTTTTATGTGTTATTCCATTGTGCTCAACATTAAATCATCTTGTATCGGTTTTAAGTCGTGATATGATGGTTAAACATAATACTGAGTTGACTAAACGGAAGGTGTGGTGAGGTTCAGATTTGTTTTACTTCATTGTGGAGCAACCACTTTAGTGGTTAATGTGTTTTACTTTCCACTACAGTCACAGGTGCGAGTCTCTGTGTATTTCGGTTTAGGCAACCAGATAATACTAACCCTCATACAGGAAGTTTAGTTCGAAGCCGAATACATTGATCTTGGCAGTTGAGTTACATCTACCTATCTTGGTGATTACTGAATATTTTATATAGTTCTAAATATTCTAGACGTGATGACTATTGGTCTGGGCACCCCCAAATGCCCTGGTATGGCCGAGAGTGGGGTGGGCCCTCCATCTCTCTCGAAATGCTCTCACACGGACATGCGTATACAGCCTCTGCCAGGGAAGTCCTACTCACTGCCTTCTCGTGGCGGGGGTGTTGTTTACGAAAATGAGAGGACGAAAAGCGAATGTCCGGCGCTTTAACCGGATCACAAACCAATGGTGCACATGGGCTCCAGTATCCTGCAGGAACAAATGGCGTATGAACCAATTTTCGGTCACCGGCTACCATGGGACTGCATCTCCTCACGATGTTCCATTGTCTTGTAGATCAGACCTTTAGGTCAAAGGCTCGGGGTGTGGTATCTTAAGAAAACCACCTGCTTCGGTTTGGGCACCTGGGCAGTATGACAGCCCGCACATACACAAATATGGTGTGGCGCATATATATTTGGTGCCCTCTTGTACCGATATTTATGTGTTGAAATAATAATAATAATTGGTCTGGGCAAATACACGTAAATTTAATATTGGATATTATTGCTAATAATACAGTCGTTGCACTGTAAAACTTCAATTTTTAAACCGTCATTGGCCATAATGAAAATACATCTAAATTTTAAACATATGATTCAATTTTCTTTTTTCATTTGAACTAAGCGTCTAACCATAAAACATCAGATCAAGTTATACCAATAATAAGAGGTGATAAATTGTCTCCTTCATGTAATGAAATTATAACAGATTTCTTGAATTGTTTATTCTGTCTGTGTAATCGTGCCTCAATACACGAAAGCAATTGTATTGATCTAGTCCTAGATTATCTATCTAGTACCGACGACCTTCTGCTTCACAACCATAATATGATAGTAATAAAGCAACCGAGAACAATACTTAACAACTATTGGCCCAAAATACGATTCTCCCGCGTCCGATCGCGAATCGTTCACATCATAATATGAAGTAGAATCCTTGCCACACAACAATATAATTAAGAAATTACGAAATGGTCATAATTACCCCATATATGAAAGTAAACTGAGTATTAAGTTCGTAATAAATTTACAGTAGCTTAAAAAAGATATTACATACGATAACAGTTCATACATCACGTAAAAGCTTACAAACAGTAGAATAAAATAATTTACGCATTCAACAATTATACTGCAAAAATGTTGACAATAATTTCTGATAGGGTAGTTCCAAAGGTTCAATCCTCTTAGTATTTATCCTGTTAAAGCATTTGCTCAAACCTCTACATCTTTTGTTTGTTAAATATAAGCTTAATTCAAGACAATACAACACTAACTATAAATCCCATATGTTTTTTTAAATATAAACCTGATCAACAACAAATATGTGATTGTGATAATCTATCAATTAAGTTTTCTGACATTTTTGTTTGGACGTTTGTGGTGATCTGTATGTACTATCGATCTCAGTGATGAATGTAAGAGCTATTATGCATAATATTGCAGTCATAAATTCAATAATTCTTATTATATTACATCTTAGTTTAAATTCATAACCTAACTTGGTGTTAGATTGATTTATGACCCAAAATACCGAACGACAATGCACTACGATTTGCGAAAATCTCAACACATACGTCGAAATATCTAAACGATTTTTTAAAGTCTAAATTTTATCAGTAACCGTGGATTTTATTTACCTGTATTTTTTAAACGATTAAAGTTATAGAAAGTAACAACTACTGCTCCAAGGACTTTATAATTAGTTTTATGTCATAACTTAATTTGCCCACTAAAAGACAATTCACAAAATTAAACAAGGAAATGCCTATATTTTATATATATTTTACAGCGTTGATATGATTACATCAAAAATTCTATGATCAAAGCAGTTTCCGGTAACTTATGAACCTTACAATTCATTATTTAGAATAGATGGTTTACGGCTAGAATTTAGTATGCATTTCATTCTATTTGCGACACAGCTGGACATACTTGTCACACTCCTGTGTTAGTGTCCGGTACTGAGACTCGAATCTAGTACCTTCCATTTAAAAACAACTTTGTTATCCTCTGATCTACTGAGTTCCGGTAGCCGTTAAACTTTCTCAACGGTTATGATGTTTGCATCATGAATAGTAGGGCTTTACATAACTCTTATTACAATCTTGTTCACATATCTGTTCTCTACTTTTAATATTATTATCTATATCAAGCTGTCATGAATTCTGAAATTATTATTTTCAGAATATGTATTATATGACTATTATTATTATTATTATTTCATTGTTGTGCTTACACCATACTTCCACTAATCCATTATCGTTTTTCCCACATAGGATGGTTTACATTTGCTAACCGCGGTGAAAGTAAGTCATATCTGTGTCATTTTCCCATATATATATAGTTTGAATAGCGCTTGTAGGTACAGGTTAGTGTGTTTCACATCGTTTCTCATATCATATTTAAATTTTTCTTCGGTCAATCGAAACGGATTGTGTTACTTTATAGTTGTGGAATTGTCGTCTAGTTATATTTTGATGATAACAATAACATATCAGGGTTTCCCTTTGACCTATAGTAAATTCTGTTTACAAACATTTGAGGATGCTTGTAATACACGATGCAAATATGAAACTCGAACAGATTGGATGTCTGTTACATGTTAATAGCGAATACATGACTTTCAGGTTAACTTAATTTCACATTCAGAAGTTCAAGAATTGAACTCGAGTAACTGTTTATGTAGTAACACTTAATGACCTTTGATCAAATAACAAAGTTAGCAAAGTAAAAACTATGACAATCAACCAGGTGACACCAGTTGTTATTGTTGAGCTATGAACCAGGAAAATGTCATAGAAATGTTTTTTCTTGTAGAAAGAACTAACACATAATATCAAAGCACTAGATAACCCTATCTCTTAATGTTTATATGTATGAATCATATTCACAGTTTACTCAATCCTAACGTTTATGTGTTTATCCAACTGCGTACAGTTAGTTCCAGTTGATGTGTATTGTCTGACTTCTACTGATATAAATCAGGCAACTTGATTTTATAAGCTAATAGTCATTAATGTTTGTCGCATCTATATTTAACCTATTATTCCAAAAGAATGATAATTACGAAACCTTTTTACTGTGTACAATTTGTCAAGTCTTTACTGTACATATGTTTAATCATTTGACTACTTAATTATTATTCAACTGAACTATACGCTTTATCGTCGATAATCGAATAAAATGACTTTTATTATGGGACAGTATATGCAGTGTGTAAATCTGCAGTGCTATCAGTTAGTTATAGTCGACTGAAATCAAGGAATAGCTTGTTTATGTTTAACTTTCAGCATTCAACCAATAATAATGAACTAAGAATCTTCAAATATTCTTCCTCCATCCTATCTTTAATGAACAATATCACTTGTTTTCACGAAAATACGCGATCACCAGGATGTTCGGTTACCTAGTTCAGAAAAAAGTTAAGAGTTGGCCAAACCAAAATGTGAAGTCAGTTCTTTGAGTCATTAACTAATTTGTCCGAACGAATGCTTATGTTTGAAAATTATCTGATTGTAGTTCGCGAGTTTATTGTGATCAATGGTTGAAGACGTTGAGTGATAATACTCTGAATCGTTCTCAGTAGTACAAATATATTCTCTCTCTACCTTCCCTTAGATCTTGAGTCTTAAAACTTCTTGTATCTTCACTAATTCATCATTTCCGAATTTTCTGTATACTTAGTCGTTATTTCGTCATCGCTGACCTCACTACTACTTTGATATTCATCTCGCTGTACTTATTCAATACGATGACTTGAATCGATGCACAAATTCGCTAAGTTTTACGTTACTTATAACTGACTTATAAATGACGTTTATGTGTAATAAAGTCAGTAAGTTTCTAAAAAAATGTTTAGTCATAGTGCATATTGACTGACTTAATGGTTTTTTCCTTACTTTCTATTGCATTCATGGTTTGAGAAATGATTTGGTTCCCTAATCAATGCTTCCTAGGCAATTTCGAAAGTTTTTTTTTAACCAGCTTTGCGATAGTCTCCACGAAAAGTGATAGTTTTACGTTGACCGGTTGTAGCTTTTGTACCACAATTACAGATGACAATATCATAATGGTTACCTGGCAAATGCTTCTCAATATACATAGTATTAGGGTAAGATCCCTGGTAAAGTCTACATACAAGATATTTTGATGTCTGGTAGGGCTATCGGCATACTGAGTCCACTGTCCAAGCTCTAAGCTCAATAAACGATCCAAAACCTTTCGGCGCCTTAATTGGAAACCAGGAAATTTCGGGCATGATGTAGGCATTCGAATATACTTGCCAGTGAATGATAAGGAATGTGAAGACTTCTGGTAATGTTACCATTCTTCCTGTTGGTAGATTAGGTTGAACATAAAGACCTCCGAATAGCAAGAAAACTGAATTTGATGACTTTAGAACACTTTACACAATATTATGTGGTGTGTATAATCCTGGCATATCACATAGGAGCGAATTCAGGCTAGAGTGAGCATAAATAAGGTAACTTCGGCCTCTTCCTTGCAACCTATTATTTCTATATGAGAAATAGTTATCAAGAGATATATTTAAATCGGAAATATTATCGGTTGTTCGTACTCCAGACATCATTACAAGTGATGGTTGATAAAGGGATACAAACAGGGCTAAATCCGTCCTTTCACTAAAGATCGTCCAAGCTTTAATAAAACATACATTAAACAAACTGCTCATTGGGTGAGAGCATTTAGATCAAAAGAGTTATCACATCCCTCAGTAGTGTGATGTAGGTTTAAAATGAAGGATTGGTGGTCCCTCAACAACACTTTTTTTATAACAACAGTTATAGGGGGTATATAAATTGAGCTAGTGAATTTGCTTGCAGAGTATAAGCAGGAGGAAAGGGTGAGAATACTGAATGACTGAAATTGTGAAGAAGTAGCAAGTTTGTATTTCATATACGGATTGACATGGCTTTAATGTGATGACTCGCCAGAGGTGATACTAAGAGCTGTATTCGAAAATATATATTGTACGAAGTACCGCTATTTGTATCGTAGTCCTGATTGTAAAGCACGTAGCGTGGGCTAAAGCTATTTGCATTAGCGCCAGCTTGAAGAGGATTTGCTGCACTTAATTAGAAGTTGTTATGACCGTTTTTATATTTTGCAGCCATTCGTGTTTGGTGGGTTGGTACTGTGTCAAAAACCTCTAAAATAGTACCGTTCACCGAGAAGTATCAGTTAAGTATGTTGAAATACTCCCAGGCGCATTTAACTCAGTCTTACCATTGAATAAATTGACAAAAGTTTGAGTCACGGAAGAATTAAAAACACAAACTAACCTACTGCTAGCCACAGATAGACAATCAAGAAGTGCAACACAAAGGTTTTCTGCAGCTGATGAAAGGTAGACAAAAACACTCAGTGCACATAAATATATGTTGTTCGGCGTTTTCCGAATTATACAGATCTCTTAAAGGCACATGTGCTACTAAGTTAAGCTAGCCTACAAACATGCCACAGACCTGAGGCGCTTCTAATACGTATTAACTTATTTGAGGCAACCCATCCAAGGTCGCCGTAATAAAAAAGCAGTGATTTTATTTCTCAAGCTAGCTTTGATTCTGTGCTAGCGAACATACATCACTTTTGCGCGACAGAACCAACAGCAAAACTGGCTGATAAAACCCAGTTGTTTGCAATGGTGGAGGTAAAGGTATGCCTTTTGTTAAGTAGAACATAAAATAATCAATAATAAAACCTCGGATATATCATGTTAATCTGTCACTTTTTATCCACTATGATCCCCATTATCTAACAGTTAAAAGTTCTGATTGCCAATCCATTAGGTAATCTATATCGACACCGTCACTTAATTTCAGGGAGAGATATGTTTGTGCTTATAATTAAGGTCATAATAATGTCCTCAAATATTTATTTCATCATTGTGAGTTATTGACTGATGTAAATGAAAGTTCCCTTGCCTACACTATAATTTAACATACAACACATTAGCTTACTCACTTATTGGTCAATGCTGATTTTCATTTTGAAATATACTCTTAATCTATATCTCTTATAAATGTAGTGTTTATAATAATATTCGGTCACATACCGCTGCGTCTTTTTCTTCTAAATCATGTCTTATTAACCCTTTGATAATGGTATTTATTGTTATTAATTTAATTGGAAGGCACAATTTTTACAGTTTGTAATTATAACGGATTACGAATCCCACTGTAAGTAATTTTCTTTAGAGATAATCATGTATGACATAACTGTCCCCACCTCACGCAAAACACGGACGCTGGATTGGTGACTCATTGATTAATATCTTCGACTTTCAGCTCTTTAGGTTCGAGTCCTAATCACTTTGAGTATTATTACTGGCCTTCAAACTTAGGACCTGACTTGAAGCAAAGTAAACTAATCTGTAATGAGCTAACAATAATATAAAGCTGTTAGTTTGTTTTCTGTTTGTCTTTTCACTTTTTTTCCTTAGCCTGACTTACATCTCTAGGTAACGTAATGTAGTTTCGTTTACCATGTACAACAGGTCCATGTACTCGGCTTTGAGTAATACTTTTTCATATATGAGGTCTGCTGATAAAAGCCAGCTTGCCTAACTGAGTGGTAATTTGAACCAGCGACATACTGGTGGAGATCGTAACCTACTAAGAGTTCTACTAATATCGAATTCCAACTTACCTGGCAAATGATTTGTTTACATTAGATCTCTTAGTCAAGTATTAATCTAGAAAAATTATTACCATATCTTTTGGAATGCTTATTTGATTACTGTAATCTTCTAGTCAGTTGGTATTATGTAATGCTCACTCTTTACAATATTCACGATTCGCATTTAATGTTACGAATACGCTAACATATTCATTTTGTTGTGATAATTAACAGAATCATAAGTGGTGCTTGCTTTGTTATTATTTAAATTTCGTAGTTGTCCACCATGTTTCTCCGATTGTTATTTTCATGCAAATCTTGAGTAAACTGGTTTTATGTAAATAATAATTTCCTTAATATTTTATCAGTCACCTAGTCAGTTGTTATTTTCTACAGTTTTATTCATATTAAACAATCAGCTCTGTGTTCACATTATTTGATTGACCATTTAGATTCTCTTAAATACGTTTTTTGAATTCACTATTGTTCCATCTCAATAAAAATTATATTGAATTTAATTTTCCTTTAATTTATTCCTCGATAATCTTTCGTCATCATTTCGTTGCTTGAATTTACAGCACTTTTTTTCTCAATTTGACAATTAAAAGAAATCTCGGGCCGAATATTTGGAAACTTTTTAGATTAAATAATTATGTTTTAAAAACGAAAACTAAATATACTGATAACATTAAACGGTAAAAGTACCATTGAATAAGAAAAAGATAATTCAGCGAAGAAAATTTTCTTTTCGACAAAATCATTTACTTAAGCTGTACATTCGTATATATAGTTATATGGAAAATGTATGTCTATAGAAGGATAGAAAGGATTGTATCACAAAAAATGGATTCGACAATAAATAACAAATGAGGTTAACGTACTAATCAAGGGGTAAGGAAGAACAAAATTTAAGGGTCAGATAATAGTCCAATTGACAGATATGAAGAAAAACGACAAAACAACAAAGGTCATAATAATAAACTGAATGATAATCAAGAAAACTTGTAAAAGGTAATAATACTAAGTGATTAGAGTTTAAAGTGCAAAATAGTAATTTAAAATATGGATAATAATAAAAGTGTATTTTAAAAAAACCCACCTAGCAACATACCCATTAAGGCCAAGGAAGGATAAGAGGTTGGACAAATCGTTTCTGCACGCAAAGTTCAGGCTTTAGTTTGTGGATTGCCAATGCCTCTGCGGTGCATAAAATATTGATTCTAACCCCCTTCGATCCAGTTCCTTTGATTCTGTAAACTATTTTAAACGAAGAGTCTTTTGGAGCGATATGTCCACAGTTGATTAAGTGCTCCTGAATAGAACTCGTGATTGTTTTTCGCTCCCCTTTCAAAAGCCAAGCCGGATAATGTTCCGAGATGCGTTTGGATAATGATCGCTTTGTGCGGCCTATGTAACATGCCCCCCAAATAAACCATAACTATTGTTGTAATCCATCTTGTCTTTAATACTGCTCCATATGTAAAAATATGCCTGTTACTGTAGATTATTAAATAAATGAATATCAAATGGTTGGGTTTTTTTATCCATAAAGAGTTTTGATAGACTCAATGTAAGCATTCAATTCTTATTTTATCTTAGTTTTTTGGTTGTTTAGCTCTAGACTAACCATTTTTTTTATTTCCCAACATTAATAACAAATTCCAAATATGAGTCTTCTCTCTCTCTCTCTACTATATTCGACAGATATGTTTGCTGGATTTAAGATACCTGAGTATAGTTTTAGTCAGAAATAGACGATGACGACGTTGAGTTAATGATAATAACGATAGTTGTCTGTTTATTAACCTTTAGTGGATCATATGAATGGTGCAGTCGCCAGTCAATATCAGTACCAACCAGCTATGGTAAGTGGTGATCCAGCCTGTATGGATCCCACTTATTTCTGTAATCAAAATGTAATCAATGGACTGCCCATACCAAATGCTCAAGGTGTCCAACGCTATTACCAACCAAGTAGTAATGATGTTACCGGCTTAATGAATGGTCATCATCCTAATAGTAATAATAATCATATCAATAATATGCCCACAATGATTACTAGGATATCATTTGAACCTGAACACTGGCGTATAACTGGAGCTGATTGTACAGCAGGCTTAGGAATAGATGCTCGGGGCTTAGATGTTGCATCTACACGTGGAGCTGGATGGCAAGTAAGTACAAAACGTTATCAAGCATGTCTATGAATTTCATGTTTTTCTTCTTGTTTCACACTCTCCCTTTCACATATTTTTTTAATGAAGCTTCATGTTTATCTTGTGGTTCTTTAAAGTGGTAAATTGTGTTCACCAAATTTACAGAAGGCTCTATTAGCTTTTGCTAACTTGCGAGATATCCATTTGTCAACCAAAGGACGTGTTTACTGTGCAGCAGTTCGTTCCGTTCTACTTTATGGCAGTGGAACATGGCCGGTAAGAGTAGAGGATACTCGTAGGTTACTAGTATTTGATCATAGGTGTCTTCGAAACATCGCTCGTATATCCTGGGACCATCGAGTAAGTAATGTAGTTGTTAGGAAACGGGTACTAGGTAAGGATGGAAAATCGATCGATGAAGTAGTGAAACTTCATCAGTTGAGATGGCTGGGACACGTGTTACGTATGCCCAACTACCGTGCTATGTTCAGTGGTATAGGAGTAGGTTGGAAGAAAGCTAGGGGCGGCCAGACCAAAACATGGCACAAGTCCATGAAGTCACTGACAAGTGGACTGAGTCATGTTGGTAAGTGTAGACTACCTGGTTGGGGGGACCATGAGATGATAGCGACCGAGGGTTAGAGACCCTGAATGACATGGCTCAAAATCGTTTGCAATGGCGCAGGTGCATACACTCCTGATTCCTTCTTGTCTCTTTTTTTCTCTTTCCAAATTTATTTCACTGGATTATAAATAACATCTCCAAACCCTAATCTTTCCGATTACTGCTCATACTCTTACTACCTCTACCACTACGGGATTCGAATCGACAACAGCATCTCTGTGCTAATGTGGTATGACAACTCGAACTGATGTACGTACGTACGAAGTTCTACGTTGTTACTGACTGACTGAAATTTAAATTATTGACTTACTACTTGTATAATTCACCTTTTGGCAATCCGGTGAATTTCGCTTGTTATTGGCTAACTCAGTGTTTTCCTATCGACATATACTGTTCATGCTCAATTTCGACTTATTGTCTTGTTGTTTCAAGCGTTTCGGGTTGATTTCATTAGAAATTAGGAGATATGATTAGTTTGAACTATACTATTTGGGTAAACTATAACTTTCTTTATCAGTATACCTATAATCTTGACGAAATGTATGCTTATTCATTGATCCAAGACTTGGTCGATCATCACTATGGTAGAAAAAACTACACTTAATCTTCTTGCAATAAGTACTATTAATGTTGCGTCCGTTTATACCAACATACCAGTTATTTCCATAGCCTAGTTTCAGTATGTAATACTATTGATTAGCCAATAAGAGTTCTTCTGTCCCTAACCTGTCCGATCAGAAGACAAGAATAACAAATATATTCACTTTGTACTATTATGCACGAATCACCAACCCACATGATCATATGTACCAAATAGAAGACAATACTGCACTATGACTAAGACAGTTCAGTCTTTATATAACTGGGTCATCTGGTGTACGAAACTAGCTGACCAGTACATAATGAATCGCAACTTTTGTGTATGTGATGTGACTCATAAACGGTTTATAAGTTTAATAAAATTCTACAGTTAGGGCAACGTAAGCAAATACAATGCAGAATGGTTTTCAAAGTCCCACCTATCTCAGTTTATTCTAACACTACTAAATTCACATAACGATTGAGACACTTAACAGATAATAGCAATCAGATCAAGTTATCATAATATATGGATTTGTATTGACTTTTTCCTACATTACATATTGGGAAGTTTTAATCTCAGTTCATGAATGGTACTTGAAATACTCGTAGTTAATTGCGCGTCATTTACTAACTAACTCTACTATAATAGTATTCCTGTAGACTAATATGATTGAGGTCAGTCAATAATATCAAATTTTAATGTATGGTTCACCCTAGTGTTTCCTTCTCTCGTTTTTTTGGAACCATGTGCGTTCAAGCTTATGTGTCCCGGGCCATATTTCTACGTGTTTTATGTGTTTTAATGATCTTATCCTTGTACATTTTATCTTTTATTTCCTCTAAGTGGTAGCTGAGTCATCACTCTGCTCATTTATTAATTAAGTGGTGTTTTTTGTACACTAAAATTAATTATAGCATACTGTGCAAATTGTTACGATACGCTTAAATTGAATTCCACGAGAAAAAAAATGCATATACCATAATTATCAATAATAATTCTGTGTTTTCATAGGCGACGATCGTTGTGAAAAAACTTTGGTTTCAGTAATAATATATTCTATCATCAGGTGAAGTATATTGCTTTGTTTAGAATTGTTAGTAAGCTACTTGTATATGTACTAATCCCTATTGTATATTCTTCTCATTTTTGACACTTATCATCTCTTTCATAAAAAATCACCTTGTCAATGGATTGTCTACACACTGTCTAATCTCATGCTATATTTCTGTCTTTTTTCTTTCATTCAGGGTTGTAGAGCTAATAAAGGTGTAAAAGCTCCAGGTGCATATTACTATGAAGCGGCTTGTTTAGAGGAAGGACTTATACGTGTCGGTTGGTCAACTAATGATGCCAATTTAGAACTTGGTGCAGATAATTATGGTTTTGGTTATGGATCCGATGCTGTAGGCTCTGCTGGTATGAATGGCACTGGACGTGTAATGCATCGGAATACTGGTCATGATTACGGAATAATGGTTCATCAGGGTGATGTAATTGGTTGCCTGTTAGATTTAGACAAAGGATCAATTTCTTGGTCATGTAATGGAAAAATATTTCAACGTGCATTCACTATACCTGACCAATTAAGAGGAGAAGCTTTCTTACCAGGTAAATAAAACCATTAGGTTACTAGTTCGAATATTATATTTCATGTTCCAGCAATGCTGTTCATTTATTATTATCTAGATCATTGAATGTACATGTTCATGAAAGATATTGTATACATGCGATTATGATATGATAAATTTGATTTCACCCTCCTCTTTCATTAAACTCTTTAGTGTGACGTCACTCCGAACTTTTAATTCTCCAATCTCATTTGTTCCTTTCAATAAATCTCGTTCTTTTCTTTTTACTATTCTCTCTCAAATATTTCTGCACTATATATTAAATCTAGTAGTTTTTTTATCGAAAGATTAAAATGGGTTATTTGTTCTTTTTTAGTTATTACGTTATACCATATAGGAAAATTAAAAGTAATGAAACGATGTATATTCTTCCCTTTCGATGAAATCAGCGGTTTTTCTCCATGTTGTTTATGAATTCGGCTTTACTGGGGTGTTGGTATTTTGTAAAACGTGTACAAAAACCACCACGTACCTTGACACACGGTAATTACTGACCAAAATTAGTATGCTAAAAGAAAGCTAGTTATTGGTATATCATAAAATAAATTTGGTCTATAAATTCATTAACTTGTGTTGGACCGACCCATGTTGGCAAATAAGCGCTACCTCTACTTTTGTGTAAACGAGTTAGTTACATTAAAAAAAAACACATATTAAGTACGTATAAAAAGTCAGGTTTATGTGAAGAAAATAGTGTATATCACATTTTCCGATAGTAATTTGATTCTTTTCACAGGAAATATTTGTAGGTAGATAGCTTTTTCATTTCATTTTACTACTTTTGATGGTCAATAGTTTTCGATGAAAAAAAAGGCATATTAATGAATCATTGTGTTCCACAAAGTTGCTTACAACTGTTCTCTTCCTCTTTCCTCCACCAACCACACCGCCAAGTTCTTCGCTTGATTTATTGCTGATAAGGAGAATGTGTGATACTTTTTGTTTTTAAATGTTAACTATAATGCTTTCATTTTTTACATGAACACTTTTTCGCTTATATTCTTAGGAGAGAAGTAAAAGTAAATAATTTCTGACACAATCTGAACTGAAAGTTTGTTTGCCTGTTTATCTCGACAATACTATCCATCTGAGAGAAATAAAATATTTGGATTAGTTCAGCTTACATAAGATATTATAAAGTAAAAGAACTCTTATATTATGCATATGAACATTGGTTATCGCTGAGTAGTCTAAAATTTCATGTTCATCTAGTCTCCTTTGTTCTGACTGAATTTTGTCGATCCGTTGCACATTCCCAAAATCACTTCTCCGTACATAATCTTTTTTACTACCACTGTTACTACTTCTACTATAGGATTTGTCTTAAAGTGATTTCATCTCACCGTGCTAATGTGTTGTGCCAACTTGAAACGGTGCTCATATCTCAGGTTCTACTTTGCGTATAAATGATTGGCTGAAATAATTTAATTTATTGTCGTAACTTGTGACCGCCGAATAGAGGGCAGTGGATTATCGATCAGACCAAGGACGCGTAAAACACGTGCGAGCAGCCTAGAGTCCTGATTAGTCCTGCTTTACGCCTAGCCCAGCCAGTTAAGTCCAGAACACCAATCTCAGCCTCTGCAGTATGAATCATTATATTTCAAACATACTGAGTTTATATACCAATCAAACAGACCACAACGTACCAATAAAATATGAAATAACATTTATACAAGAATTAGCCAGATGTGGCTGTGAATGATGGAGATAGTAATTAATATACTGGGTATAACTCAAGAATGGTAAAACGTATAATAATAGTTTATGGGTCAAAACAAAGCTTATAATAAGAGGAGTATGAATATGCATAGTTTAGTTACTTAATAATTATACAATAGAAATATACGTTTAGTATTGGTCTATCAATAGATCTCAGAAGTTACCATTCATTATTCTTGTCGGGACATAACATTTATATTTCAATCTTTAAAGTATTTCACATCTCTCATGTGATCGTGTTTCTTTTTCTACTTTAGCGGCTAGTCTAAAAGATTCACGTATCCTATTTAATTTCGGTGAAGAACAACCGTTAGAATTCCCACCAGATGGTTCATTTATTCCTGTAGCTCAATCTGCTGATGATAGTCAAGTATCTAATCGAAATCCTGGTTGGCGCATGAATCAGTACGATGCAACGAATGCTTTAGATGTTGCACCCGACGGTAGTCAAGTTCAGTCACATTTTAATCAAGGTTGGCAAGGTTGTCGATCAAATCATGTAAGTGCTCTTCGTTTGCTTGCGTATATTGCTTTGGCTTTAATAGAATACTTTGACGTAAAGGTTTTGTAAAAGTATATTTTGAATGTGCAATCTTTTATATTATCACTTATATTGTTACTACCTCTACTACTCTGAGATCTACCCTGCACCATTTCATTTCGTTGTACTGATGGTGTGTGGCAATCTAAATTGATATATACAGATGCCTTGTTCTACGTTGTGACGGTCCAACAGAAGATAGATTTAATGCATTTTTGAAGCTTAAATCAATAGTCGTGATAGGCTAAACAGCCGTCAGAATTTACATTGTACGATCACCAAGCCGCTTTATCCTTAATTGACGTGTACTTGTATTTGAAGATATAAGGGAAAGAGTGAAAAACATGAGAAAACAGGTGATCCGATCTCTCAATCAGCACATAAAATCCACTCATTTTTATTAATGAAACCAGTCGATAACAATTGTCAATAACAAGGGCTTTGGATTAAGGCAGTTTGACCACCAAAACTGACGATTTTGAGAGTGAGAATTTGTTTAATTTAGAGAAAAATACATAGAATAATTAGTTCCCTGATGCATCAGGGAACTCATATCTGTATGTTTCAAGGTTAACTGTATTGCGTTTATTATCGTTCACATTCTGTTTCATTACAATACATTTTTATACCAAATAATAGAAATGGTGGAATTTCACCATCGTTACTTTTAAACTTTTCGACTCAGCTATTTTTGAGTGATACATTCATTTATAGGTTTGTAGAAAATAGACGAAATAACGTTCGTACGCAAGCACAAATACACACGTTTAATAGTCTTCATTCTCGTTACTTTTAATATACATACTTAATGATTGTTTTTTGTCTCGGTTTTTGCTTTCCCGCCTATCTACTAATGTTATTATTGTGCATTTTTAAAACAATAAAAAGCTGACGCTTGCTGATATTGGTAATTGTACTAGTATATACTTCTAAATTTGTAACGATTATTTTGAATATTTTATTGGAAAATTAATCGTTTATATGTGTTAAATTCAGACAGAAAGAGATGGTGATAGGTGAAAACGATATCCAAATCGAAGGTTTCTGGTTCGTTTTTGTTTGTCCCTCTTTTGGCTAACAATATGTATATCGTAAAAAGTTTAAATAATTGATTCATTGTCTGATAGAATACAACTTATGATACATAGTAGCTGTTTTATAGTAACAACAGGTTATTCCCTATGATAAGTAAAACATTTTAAGGAGAAAGATAGACACATTATTAGTCATCACTTGGTAATTTACATTAGTGTAACGTATATGTAGAGAGATACGTGTGTATGTATGTGTGTGTTGTTTATTTTAGTTTTCGCTTCCCCATGTTGCACTTAGTGGCCAGTTTACTTATTACTTTATGATCACGAATATTCCATTTATATAATATCACTATTATTATACTGAAAAATGTGTAAGGAAGAACAAGTTTGTTACGATAGTTTTTACATTAGTTTATCAGTGAATCTACATTAAACGTTATTTTCGTGTACCAATATAGTAGTATATACTGTGTTAGCTGAATAGAAATTGAATTTCAATTAGGAAACCAATAAAATATATTCATAAAAGTCATCAATAATCTGAGACAGTGACCATACATTAAACCAAAAGGTTATTGTAGTATTACTTGTTTACTTTTTAAAATCACCATCCAGCTGCATGAACAATGCTCGTGCGTGTAGTAGAGGGGAGTAAGTTGGAAGAAAGTTGAAAGTGGCCAAATAATGACATCAGTTTATGAAGACACTAACCGTTAGACTGAATTCGACAGGTAGGTAAAGGTTACCTGTCTAGGATTTAAGTGTTAATCATGAACAAGTGTTGCAGACTTAGTGATATAACCCAGTTTAAGTCACAATAGAACAGATCTATTCACTTTTTATCTTCCTTTAGATCTTTAAATTTAAAACGATCTACTTGCACCATTTATTTCCCGAATTCATACTTCTCGAATCATATTGTTCATATTTGTCATTGCTACTTCTCCTGATCTCTGGCATCTACCTCTCTGTGTATTGTAGTTGTGTGTCAGTTTGAATTGTATGCGCATATGTACTAAGTTCTACGTTGTTTGTAACTGATTCTGAATGAAATGACAACAGTTGTCATTCTTTTTTAACAAACTATCTGCTTTTCTCATATGACAAAATAAGGCAGTGGAAAGCTTTCATAAATCAATCATATTGAATTAGGTCAACTAATTGTCATGTTAAATTGAGTTCATTCTATCTGTTACTTAATAATTTTCTCTTCATTAAATTGTATCTCATTTGAGACGTACATTGTGATAGAATCTCATTTAGTTACCATATGTATTTGTGTATGTGTTGTTAATTTGTTTCATCTACAGTCTTGGATTATTACTTCTAGAATAATAAAGGTCAGTTGATATATTTGTAATACAAACGTGAAATTAATCGTAATGATCATTATCATGCTCACTTAATTTAAATAAAAGTTTATCATTGATTCCATATTCCTCTGATTTATGTGTTACTATTTCATAATTATTGTTTCCTTTTTTTCACCCCCCCCCTAGGGTATTCGTGGTCTTGGACGCTTCTACTTTGAAGTAACTCCTATTGAATCTATTGGACTATGGCGAGTTGGTTGGTCAACAGATGATGGGAATTTAATTGTTGGCACAGATCAATATGGTTTCGGTTATGGTGCAGATAACGAAGGTTTCGGTTTGAATGGACAACAAGGAAAACGTATACATTGTGATGAAATTGAAAATTATGGTGAAGTATGTTACATTTTGTTTTTTTATGACATATATTAATTTTAGCATTTATGGGAATTTTTTTAAACTGACAGACTTCTATGGTTTGAATCACGAATTGATTTTGGCTAGATTATCATTAAAAATCAGTAGACAACAGTTTCGTCGTAGAATGGAACTCATCAGAAGTCGACAACCACGACCTCGCTACCGGGAATCAAATCTAGGTCTTTCGATTTCGCGCATTTAAATCTAACTTCTAAACCAATAAATCGATAGATAATGGTGTGCAAGTCTATGTTCAATTAATTTACAATATTGCACAACTGTTTCCTACACTGGAACAAAACATTTGTCCAATGCGTCTTAGTTTTCAACACTTATCAACCGAAGATCAGTTTGTTATTCAAACTATGAAAAATAACTGTTTGTCTTTTCTTGATAATATATTTGCCCAATATAATCAGAACTCCAAATATTACAACTTGGATGTAAACAGAGTTCAGATAATGTATCAGATTTTATTTCATTATTGTTCCCCAGTTCAGTATCAAGAATGAATTTTTGACTGTTTGTTTTATTTTTCTGTCTACATAATTCCCATATTAAAAATAAACTTCATTCATCTGCGTGTCATCAATGAGCAACCATCCGCGTAATTTTCAAATATCTCACAAATTTTCGCAATAATACTTTATAATTTGCTAAGCACTTCATACTGATTATTAGAAAATGATATACTTAATAGTTATCATTCATATATCTCCCTGTAACCACTACAGTTCCTTTTACTCTATAGTTGTAATCATGCTTCACTAACACCAAACGGAATTCCAATCTCTTTGATGTTATCGTATAACTTCACAATTTCCTGAATAAATACCTTCAGGGATGATGTATATTAAGCCAGCAATGTTCTGAATTTCAGCTTATGATTCTCCGTACTTACGAGTTTCTTGAGTAACCAATTTTCGTCTGTACATTGTAGTCTACTACATTCCAAAACAACTTCATGAAAAAAATTTATCCCCCCTTCTTTCCTTGTATTTAAAGTGACTGCGAGAACGATTGGTCCAGTTTTTTCTATTCACTGTTTATATTACTCATAAATCTCCTTTGTTTCTCCTTTAATTGAATGTCAACTTCAAAATTATTAATGTTTGCAAATGTTAGGTATTTTATGGCAACACATTGGAGTCAATGTACATATTATTATTATTATTATTATTATTATTATTATTTTACTGTCGATTTTATTGACTCGTTTTTTCTTTGAATCCCTTTCATTATTGTCCATATTATGACTGTTACTTTTCAAAATCAACTGTCGTTTTGTTTTAGCAATTTTCTTTGTATGTTTATTTTGTAAAAAAAGGTTTACAATTATGTAGAAATGTATATTTAGATAATGTCTGTACAGATTTTTGAATATTATTTATTTATGTATGGAATAGTGACAAAAAATGTATGTATTTACGTTTGCTTGTTTGTTTCTAAAGGACTATTATTAGTAAACATGCGCACGTATACACACACGCACACACACTCAGGCACTTCAACTTATAATAATAATAATAATAATAATAATAATAATAATAATAATAATAATAATGATTATGCATGATCCATAATACTAATGATTTCTAATTAATTCGCTATTGAATTTATTTACACTATGGCCTGATAAGGTCTGTGTTAGTGAATTTTTTTAAAATTAATTGTTTACTTTGAATTGTTTGTATTAGTTTTCATAGATTTTTATAGTTTTGTATTTTGAATCCTGCGAATATGAGTTAGAATAACATTCTGTGTATTGAATTCTAGGAAATTTTTACGGCATTTTACTCAATGCTGTAATAGTTTAAAATAAGTCATTTACATAGTAGAATTATTCATGTAAAAGGTTTGTAGAATCGTTAAGTTTTAATGTGTTGGGTCACTGGTGACTACTTTCGAGTAGTAATCCCTGGAGTCATAGTGCGAAGCAGTAACCAGTAGTTCAGTTCAACAATATCGAACGAGTCAGTTATTGATTAATGACAATGGAATATAGTTGCGCGATTCCGTGGATTCATTTAACTTGAAGACATAAACTATCGAATACCGGCTCAGTGGTTTGGAGGCTAAGCACTTTCTGTGAAACCTACAGGTCATTGGTTCGACTCCCAATTGGGTCGTGGAAACTGCTGAAGAGTCCCTCACTACGATGAAACAGCTAGTCAGGGATTTCCTGTTTTCAAATGTTATTTATGATTAGTCCCGAGTGCGAAATATGTTACACGATAGTCTCTTTAATAGCCGGGCAGTCATATCTATCTTCTGAGGTTTAAATTTTGTAATTACGTTCCTCAAACTTCAACCTGGGCACCCAGATAGTGTTAAAAAGGTTCGTTTGGTTTCTACCAATCTGTAGCACTATCGACATGTCCTTCCTCTAATCAAGAGATATATTATTCAAAAATGTTAAATTTAAGCACCCAGGTATTGCATAAAGTTGGTAAATTGATTAGAAAAACTGCAAACCATTGTTGACCAATGTGCTGTAGCACAAAATCAACCACTCTACAATGGTGACACTGTCACAAGAGTTGGCTAATTCGTTAGGAAGTGATCAAACAAAACGTGGCATCATTTCATGAAGTCATCGTCTATTGGTTTTAGCTAATACCGGGCTACAGGTCTCGTATTTTGATTTCATTCAACGAACCTAATCACTGGTCAACTAACTACATTCTATTATCTTTCTCTTCCTCTGTCTTTCCTTTTTAATGTTTAGGCATTCTCTAAAGATGATGTGATCGGCTGCTTTTTGGATACGATTGAACACACTATTAAATGGTCAAAAAATGGTTTAGAATTTGGTGACGCTTATCTAATTCCATCTGAATTGTTACATTCTAAAAATTTGACAGCATTGTATCCGACTGTGTCCTTGTTGAATTCTACCCTGGAATTGAACTTTGGCGACAAACCATTTAAATATTATCCTGGGGTATGCCTTTGTTGTCAGTATTTAAGTTTTGTCTGATCAAAACCTCATAAATTCTTTTGAAGACAAACTCTACCTTTATTGTCATCGCAGTCTAATCGAATTGAATAGTATACTTAACCCTCATACTTGGAGTGTTTTTCATACCCAAATATCAAAGTAGTAGACTAACATGACATTGATTATTATTTATGAACAATCAATTCTAGATATCTTCATTCTCCAGGATGCCTGTTGGCTATCGAATAAATTGACAGAAAAAACCTCCATATATAATTGTTTTGCGTAGAGGTGAATAAACTTCTTATTTCGTCAGTCATTCAATCTAGCTGAATAATTGAAATTTAAACACGATAAAATAAACTAGTTTTCGGGTAATGAAATAAAAATCCCAATAGAATTAATAATATATTGCATAAATAGCCAACAATCCGATTCAGGATGCTGTTTTTATCCGTTTTGTGGTTCTGCAGTTGAACGTACCTACTTCTCAGCCTTGAAACTCACTGCGATACTCGGATTCAGTACTTATTTCTTTGAATACTTGATCATTATTCACCAAATTAACTATTAATCTATGATATCCATCAGCCTGTTCGATAGTTATAGTATTTGTAATGTTATTTGTAAAAGTTTTGTAGTTTCGTGTTCCTACTGTTTTTACTGCTAACTACCCATATCCAGAATTCAATCAACAGGCAATATTAAAACATTCATTCAGAGAGCCCATATGTGGATACACATCTTGCTTGGTAAAATACAATCAGACTTTAATCACTAACAACGAAAAAGCGCATTCGCTTTACAAATGATAATGCTAACAACAACCAGTTTCACGTGATCACTAAATTCTCTGGAATGAATCACTTGATTTGAAGTACTTTTTCGATAAATTGATTTCAGACTTCTCATTAGTTGTTCTCTTATTTGTGAGACTTTTTTTATTGATTGTGTTGACAAATAGGAGGAAGTGTATTAATATGTTTTAGTGGCTATCATTATTATCACTTTACTGGATTTGTTTTCCTGATTGATTAATCATTGTCCAATCTATTTTCTAAAAAATTATATATTTTTAAAGTTCAAAAAATTCTATTTATGTACGTAGTCAGTCAGTCAATCATTATCATCTTAAAGACTGGTACATATGTGTGTTGACCCCAGTTGTTATAATACAACTTTCGAAACATATATACACACGACTTGCTCTCATTATTAACAAACTACAATATTATTGATGAATAGTCTTCTTAAAAAAAGCGGAAAAGAAACAGAGGTCTTTCTTCATTAGTAGAAATGAACATTTTTTTAGTGGGTTTTTATATACCTGATCGGTTTTCTTCATGGGTGTTAATTCTTTTTTTTTCATTGGTTTATTGCCTTAATTTACTTTTCTTCCTTCCGGTCATTGGCGAAAAATGTGCAGAATGCGTGCATTCAAACGCCGAGCAACATACTTTTTAACTATTAGATAGTCGGAGGTAGTATAAAGGAAATTTTAAACCTAAGTTTCGTCCCACTTGAAACTCGTCAGACACGTGTGCCTGTAGTATTGTGTGGGGCTATTACCTCGTGGCGTATCGCTCAGCTTCACAAACTGGACTGAGATATTTATAACTGGTTGTTTGCCGTTTTTCTACTCCTTTTAGTCCTAGTCGAGTTTTGTCGATCAAGTTGCATTGTAGCTACTAGTCTATCTAACCTGACAACACGCGCAGCATGCTGTTATGTCCTACAGAAGGTCAGTCGCAATCTAAATAGCTTAGTGGTAACTAATCAGACTGTAAAACGGGGTGATAAGTGGTAAGACCAGCCAAAAACAGTTCCCGCAATGCTACATTAAGTTCCACATAACATGAAACAGGTCTAAAATTTCCTGCAAACTACCTTTAACCACCCAACATTTCAACACGGTACACGCAATGTCAAGTTACTTAGACTGTGGTGACCACTTCTCAACTTGACTGATGAAGTGTGAGCAGACAAACAACATTGTTCACGACTGAATGATCGATTAACTGTGTATTCTAGATCGTTTACATCTAAAATATAGATGAAGCTAATAAATTCTCATTGTTGTTCTCATTGCAAACTATTTGTGTATTATTGTATAATATGCAAGTTGTGTTTATTTTCTTCCTACGCCCCCTAATGGATTGTCTGTACACATTTTATTGCACAGCGACCAACGAAGCATCGTATTCTCTATCATTCCAGTAGTCTCACCTGTTTTTTTCTTTTAAACTGTTTAGCCTGATTGGACACCTGTATGCTGTGCTCCTCCTGAATGTACTAAACGTTCTAGACGTAAAGGTCCTGAAGTAAGTCAGATATATATCTTGACAACTCAGTATGTGTATATCCACTATAAACACCGTGAGATGAAATGATATTAGAACTGATATGTATAACAAATAAATTGTTTGATAAAATCTTAAGTAATTTATGTCTTTAATAGTTGTTCAATCAAATGTTTTGTATTTTGTAGAAATCCAAAATGTTTTCGCTATTTAATGGGCTATTTTTTTTTACTTATATGGCGTTATTCATTGAACAACTTGGCAGACATAATGAATTATTCATTTTTCATGATTGTTATCTTTATCATTCGTTGACAAAGTATATTACTATCTAGTCGCCATATTTTCGAAAGAAAATTAAACAAACTCGACTATCTAACAATGGAAAATGGTAACCAGTAGGACTAGCTAAAAGTTTTGCGTCCGATTGATTTAAAATCATACCATGGTCTACCATTAATTGTATGTTTACGTGTATCAATTTTGCGTACATAAATTGTTCTTTTCACCGAATATTTGTTACGGCGATAATCATCATCATGAAGTTTCTGAGGCATAAAATGATGCGTGTAGAAATGCATCTTCATGGACAACAGCACTTTTAATATATTGGTTTATTGACGGTATATACAAAGTAATATACATCAATCTTGTAAGTAATATAGTTATGTCTGATAAATAGTGTATGAAAAGCAATAAATACTTTAATAAAATGACATATCCATAGTGTTATGTGGTGTTATAGTCACGAAATATTTATGTATCAATGTTTTCGTCATGTGAGAATTACGAGGTTATGGTTTGCAGAGCGTAAGTCAAACTTAGTCTCATGTTGCAAGGCGACACACATAGGAGCATCTAAAACATGGAAGAAGGAATATAGGAAAATAATTACCTAATATGTGTGATATAAGATTATGGTAGCGAATTTGTTTCACGGTTTCATATCCTCAACGAGAAAGTATGTGTATGAGTAGATTTAAAACCACAAATCATGTTTACTAGTGATATTCAGTTACGATAACTCGGCTATTTCACAAACTGAATTGCATTACTTAAATATAGAAGATAATCTACTTAGTATCTTGAAGAAAATGGTTACATTTAGCTTAAAATACCGTTTACATAAAACATCAACTCTTAGCTTAATACATCTAAATTTGTAGTGTATGAGGTTAAGCTCAATGTCTGTTTATAATTATTATTTCTAATAACAAACTCAACAATTTCTACAACCTTTCACTCAAGAGAAAAATTCCAGAGTTCTAGTGAGAAACTGTGACCAGCGGGGCAAAACTGTCAAGTGTGTAGAAGGTGCTCAGCGGGCACAATATCGTAGGTTGATCGAAGTTACATTTGTGCATCGTTGGATACCGGCTCAGTGATCTGAAGTTTAAGCGTCCATGTACAAGATCGAAGGTTCTGGGTTCGACTTCTGCGTGCGGAATCGTGGATGCACACTGCTGAGGTGTCCTATGCTAGGATGAAACAGCCGTCCAGTTCTTCCAGGTTTTCACTCTTGGTCTAGCTAAGATGTTTTCAGTAAAATAATAATTCACTTTACCAGCAATAATATACCAACATACGATCACAGACTAGGCAATAGACAACACCATACATTATATATAATGTCTCCCCCGTAGACATTCTCAGTTGATTTCTCTGTGCTAATGGGACATAGCGACTTAAGCCGATGTACACATATGTTATGTGCTGCGTTACGACTAACTGACTTACTTGAATCGAATTGTAGTTGTATCTATTACTTTTCGAGCTTGGGTCTTTTTTGTTGTTTTCTAATGAGTAATAGTAACCTGGACAATATGACCTTCATTCATCTGATTTTTATTGTGTAACCTTATTGTTACTTGATTGATTAATGCGTTTCTCCGTTTCTGTTTCAAATATTTGATTGAACTTTTATTCGCTTTATCAATCTACTTGATTTTTTATTCAAAACATATGTGTATATACAGCGGAAAGTGAAGGGGTGGTCATATATTGATCCGACTATTTTAGAACCATCAATTCGACAAACAATGCAGGTTAGTTGCATTAATTCATTGTGCTTATTGGTACCACCGTTATTGTTGGCGACCGTTGCTGAGTAATGGTGTTTATAATTGTTTATTATTATTATTATTATTATTATTATTATTATTATTATTATTATTATTATTATTATTATTATTATTATTATTATTATTGCTAGACTCCAGTCTAAATGGGTCATCTGTGTTTACACAAGCGCATTTTGTTCTAACCTACCACCTACTTACGTGGATTGAAAAACAGTGAGAATTGTGCATATAATTAAAGATGTTTACTAATTTTCACTTAATGTGTCCTTTCTCACTGTTGTTGTAACCAGTGCTCCCGCCTTTTCTTTTCACTGGTACTTTATTTTGTTTGCATTTGTGCATCTGTTTCTATGTTTGACCTGTGACCTTTGTGAAGATATGCACGATTGAAATGTCTGTTATATCTTCAAATAAACAATTTGACGGGGGAAAAACAACAACACTAATCTGAAATGTACACACACATTGTCAATCTATTGAAGATGTGTTCTTTTAGAATATATCCATAAACGATTGTTTACTTTTCTATTTTAATCTGAAATGTTTGGAACTAGTTTAGTAAAGAGATTATGTATTCATTGTGTTATTTATTCTTTGAATATAGATGTTACTCGTTTGTTTGCTTTGTCTTAAATGCACAACTATTTGTTTAAATCCAATTTAGTCGTAAAAGCAGTCTCGCCATAGATTCGACATCAAATAATTAAGTGATTAACGAATAACGGGAGTAGTCATCATTGTTTGATCTCGATTGAGTTACCATTGAGAACTGGGAAACACTGGTGGACAGCTGTTCCGTCCTAGTATGGAACTGACTAGCTGTGGGCATCTGCAACCTCGTCAAGGATCAGACCCGAGTCTTCAGCTCTTGCAGTGAATTCTTAATGAGTTGAATCGGAGTCTTTTGGTGACATTTGTTTTTACTCCGGATGTACCTAAACTCAACTACTGGTTATAGCTTTCCACCAAAAATTCGGGAACACCTAGAAGTCACTTGTGAGACGATCCCCCGATGAAGATCAGGTTATAACAAATATAACCTACGAATTAAACTAATCTCCTTAAAACCACTTTCAGAATAAATAGAAGAGCTATTGTATGGTTTTCTTATTCTTCTATAGTATTCATTATTAACATTGCACATATCTACCCTCAATCATACACATGATATTGAATTCAACAGACTTTCAGTGTTGTTTAGTACACAGAGCACATTTTGTTAGATTTAACTGCTGATCCAATGTCTGATAGTACAAAACGGAAGATGAAAAACTGTTATACAGGTTTGTCTCATATCCATGGTCCAAAGAACACTACTGTCTATCAGAAATGTTAACTAAACAAAATTTTAAGAATTCTGATGTGTACACATTTTGTTTAAAGAGTCAGTATAGTTTTCCAACATTTATGTCTTCATGTATTTTGCACAAAATGACTAGCTTGAAAAGGAAAGTTATATTTCAGTTACTTCGATGATAATTTTTGCTGTGTTATACTCTTTAACTGTTTGTATTGTTCATAGTTATGAAACATTCTCATTGTTGTTCTAGTTGATATAATTACTATCATCTCGCCTTAATTTGAGTGAGCTTTTAAAAACGATTTGTTTCACAAGCACAAAATCTACGCGTTATGATGTTTACGTTTGTGACTAGTTATCACTGCCAGTTTACTAATCTTCATTTGTTCTTGTTTGCTTTCCATTTAAAAATTGCGGAGAAGGACATTTAATTGTTGTTTCCACCCTATATAGTCGGGACTCATCAATAGAGTGGACTCCAAATACTCCGCTAAGGATCAAACCCCTTGAAGGCTTGTTACTAACATATTCCACTCACCCTATTGATATCCTATGGCTTACATTCACAATTTTTAGCAGTTCGTAATATTGCGGATGTACATTGGACAACTATTTAGCGATTCGTGGTCTTTAATAATTACCTATCTTTTAATACAAAATCTAGGCACCAAAAATATACTCATCCCGCAAACAGAACGATAGTATTGTGAAGAAATAAAAGAGCCTAGGGTTGTATAAACAGAAAAACACAAATGAACATGAATGAATGGTGCCAAATAGAAGATACAGTTCAGAAAAAAACATCTATTAAAAACTTCTTTCAGTTGATGAAACTCATCTCATTTTTATAAATAACGCAAAAGAAAACTGTTGTAGGATCGTCACTAGTTTAAATTCTGAATGTTGTCTGATAATGTCGCCAGCCCTTGAGTTGCACCATCTATAGGATACCATCCAGTGTAGTTGTCATGGTCTGGCAAATGCCAGTTCTACGCAGTCTTACATACCACGAGGCCGTTTCACTAACCGTTCCCCTCTCCATTTTTCTCAACCAATTTAACAATCACATTCCCATCCATTATTGATTTACAAAGTGTGTTTATTTCACTTCTATGCACACCTCTGAAATTTCTCCCATTATAACTAGTTTCTAAATTCAACTACGTACCGACCATATCTTATTGTTGTGTCAATTTGAGTGAGATTTCAGACAAGGTAAACACACTTTTTATATCACATGATATGTAAATAAATACTCTTGTTTTACACATACTAGACAACTTTTAACTTATATATAAGCCACATTGATTTTAATCGTAGGTAGTGTTTTACACAACAGAACATGCTCCTATTTTATTATTTTGAATATTTTACCTTGTGTTTTAACTCGTAGTAGTAGCAGTAGTAGTAGTAGCAGTAGTAGTAGTAGTAGTAGTAGTAGTATGTAGATATAGATATAGATATAGATATATAGATAGATATATAGATATATAGTCTTACATCATGAACTGGTTTCAGTTAGATAACTTAACAATTAAGAAACATTCTATTCTTCAAAATTATTTATCCATAACACAGTCATTGATCGAACCTAGAACTTCAAGTCCTCGTGCCGTTTGTTGGGTTAGTAAGGCTTTCTGAATTCTGGTTCCCGTTTCTTCTGTCGTATGAAGGAGGTGGGATTATTCTTGATGTATATTGTATGTATTGGTGACCAGGTTAATTTAGTTTGTATACATCTGATTTCATATTGGAAGAACCTTACAATTATATGTAATTTATTAAGAATTACCTTGAATTATTTCACAATAGAATAATTTACTTCAAATTGGAGTACTGATCAGTAGTACATGCATTATTAATTCATGAAATGCTGGTGATTCTTTTTCATTTAATTTATTTCCATCATAACTTTAAAGCTTGCCACTTAGGCGTATTTGTGTATGTGTTGTGTCGATGACTGTTATTTACGTCAATTTTAATTTCATTTCTTTCTTTATCAACTTATATTTAATGATCATACGAATTTAAATCTTTATTTCACTTGTGTAATATTGACATTAATAGTTGTTTAGTAAACGCTGAAAGTAATTAAATCTTTCTCCCAAAGGCCACTTGACAAGCAGTAGTACTCGTAGTAGTAGTCAATGTTTGCTTTTCGTTAAATTTCTTTCCTCTAGAAAATATGGATTGTGGTTAGCGGTCATATACAAATATAATTCACTTGAAGGAGATTATATCCATGAAAACGTCCAACAACTCGTCATACTAACCGTCATTTTTATTCATTTTAATACTAATTTGATAGAAAGCATAATGATGTTGATAATGGAATTAAACTAGTTGAGAATAAATAAATGTAGTATATAATGAAGTTGGAAATGTTGTGTGTAGTTACGGCAGACCTGTCGATTATCGTTTGCTTCTTTTATTATTATTGTTGTAATTATTTTTGGTCTAGTATTTGTTTTCTTTCATCTACATTTTTTGTTTTGCATATTATGGTTACATCACATCTCTTTACTGTCTTGTTTCTTTTTTTGGACTGAGGCCTAGTATGATTTGTCTTCGATGACTCAGTTTTTCATTTACACTATACTCTATCTGGTGCATGTACATGCACACTGATATAAAGTTGTTTACATTTTTTTTCGGTAGACCTTAAATTGTTCTACGTTAGGTGGTCGGAGGATCTATGCTTCATAGTAGTTGGCACTCGTCAGCAGGGTCTGCTTGTAATATCGAGGGAATTGTTGTTTTGAGCCTGTAGGATTCGAAACCGCACCACCTAGTCCCACAGTCTTAAACGTTATCATATTGAACTATTCAGGCTGCAAATGACCACATACCGGACTGAGATGTGTTTACAAATGATTGATCTCTGAGTATTGAAAAACGTAGTGCTCACTTTATCTTTTAAGGACTGATCGGATTCCTGTGGATTACCTTCAACTATCTAACATCTCGACACAGTACATTTTATGTCAATTCAATTAGATTAGTGACCTGAACATTACATCCTGATTGATTGAAACTAGATAAACATGACATTAGTCACTCACTACTTCACTGTAACCAATTAATTGCTGTTCTCATATGCTTAATGTATTTGATAAATTTTAATATACTGACTGAGTGCTTTAATTTCTTTAATTGTACTGTTAAATAATGATAAGTTCAAATTTGCAAAAATTGAATTAACCTTCTTGATGAGTATGCAATTATATATCTTGTTGTGCTAGGTTTCTAGAAGTTTTATTTTTCGATTGATTTCGCCATGTAATTAGTCATACGTTATGTGAAATAGCATTAGTTGATTGTCCCACTTCATTGCTAATTGACTGAATTTAGAAATGTGTTCATTTTGGCCTTGGATTTGCTGCTAGTTGTGATACAGCGAAACCTCTAGGTTCCACACTTTGTTTGATCATTGGTATGCACTTGTTGAGAGTAGTCTCAAACCATCTCTTCAATGCTCTCTGATGCTCATTGATTGCAATCGATGACGAGAACTGTTATTAAATGAAAACAATCTACACCAATAATTAAATAAAGCCTAATTTTCATGCGAATATTTCAGTGGTTGAAGTGTTCGATTCTCAGTCGCTGAGTCCCAAATTGCAGACTTTATTTATAGTCATGTTCCATAAAGGAGGTATTAACTTTTTTGCATTATTTTAATTTGCATATACCTTATTCTGCTTATTTTCGGGTATTATCTGATCCTTCATATTTTTACTTATATTTTATTTATTCTATTAGCCTTTTGTATTTATTTATACGTACCATTTCTAAAATGTGACAATTTGAATAAATCCAATTATTTTTTGAGAATTAAGAACTTTTCACTTCATGAAATGCAGCTGTACGATTGAACTTTCTAAACGAAATTTTGTAGATATAAAGCTTAAGACTGATAACTACTATACGGCCAAACTAAAAATGTATCAGTCCATAGAGTTATTAGTCTTAGCTATTTTGTTAAGTAAAATGCAGCATACCTGCGTGATAACTCCATTAATTAGGAATTTTGCGTGGCATTGTTTATTGCAACTATATTTTCAATGTGTAGTCGCTCTCAGCATCATTGATATTATAATTATGCCGATCTCTTTTGTTAACTTCATCTCATCGTGGTAGTTTATGTTATTATAGTAGAAGTAGTGATGGTCATATTCTACATTAACTATGTATAACCACTGATTGGTCTGTGTATTACTAGGATAATAGTAAGTGTGTAGCGTATAAATATTTATTATTATTTATGAATACTTCATGATGAGATTTATTACTGACCTAAAGAACAATTTTAAACAGCGGGTCATCCAAAGGGGGCAATAGTTGAGTTGAATAGCAGCAAATGGTCGTCATCATCTCCAATCGTTATATATATATGACACGAAGTCGATTTTGTAATAAAATAACATTGTACCATCATCATTACCAATGTTTTCATGTCATTTTATAGTTGTTACTATTCACATTCGTATTAATAAATAATCTATTTATACAAACATGACCATGTTAACTTTATATTCACTAATAAATATCTGTTTGTGTGATTTTTAACATAGTGATTTTATTATGAGTGAGATATCAATTCCAACATCACCAGTACTCTAATTTACATGTTTACACTTATAACCTATTATTTACATGTTATATATATATATTACAAATTTATTCAAACGTGAACATTGAAACCATTGGGTCCCTGGTCAGTGATCTGAAAGCTAAGCGCATATATTCATTTCATTCTTTTCTGTCTATTCCTCCGAGTTCTTCACCTAACTACTCCATATTGCTTCATTTATCTCTACTAACACCTTTTTTCGATAATCACGGAGTTTTTTCTTTATCACTCTATTCGTTCTTATCCGTGTTATCAGTATCATTTTAATCTTATATGCGTAATTTCATTGTTAGGATAAATAATTTTTCTCTTTTCTTAACAATCGTCCTTTTCCTGTAGTTTTTTTCCCTCTATTATTCAAATGCAATTAAACAATGAAGTAGGTGAGCTTTAAAGGAATAATTTTAAATACTTCCAGTGTACTGAAAACAACCTAACGAATTACTAGAGATAAAATCCATTTGATTGGAGTCAATTATTGCATTGTAGATAGTGCAAATTGTTTCATTCAGTCCATCTGACATTCCAGTCCATATCAACAATCAATCGCGATGATATTTTGTAATATTGTATTTTCTGGTTATTAGCTAATACGCCATTTCAGATTGCATATTTCACTGTATGTGGAACTTATCAGTTGATTCTACTTTTGCATTTCAATTTCTATAAGCATACTCGTATTTAGGACTCATTACACTCATCATTGAACATTAGATCTTTATTCACTTAGTAAATAATTACTATAGATACTCAATAGCCACTAACTTGTTTAATGAGTATTTTTTCATAGGTTTGTGTAATTCCCTATTGCTAATATCCTATTGTAAATCACTATCATAATAAATACAATGATTTTATAGCTTCTGACATCATTAAGATAATCGTTGATAGAGCATTTATAGACATATATACACCTAAATTCAAATGCAGGTGAAGACAGCCAGTGTAGCAGCAGTAGGGCTCAACATACACAAGGAAGAAAACAAGATTCTCAAATAAAACACAAGAAGCACCAAACCAATCACACTTGATGGGGAAGCTCTGTAACAAGTGGAATCTTTCACGTATCTGGACGGCATCATTGATGAACAAGGCGAATCTTATGCAAACGTAATGGAGAGGATTAGCAATGCATGAACAGTATTCCTGAAGTTTAAGGACATATGGAACTCAAAACAACGGTCAACTAATATTAAAGTGAAGATTTTCAATACGAACGTCAAGACAGTTCTGCTGTACGGAGATGAAAGTTGGAGAACTACCACAACCATCATCAAAAATGTACAAGTATTTCTAAACAATTGTCTACGTAAGATACTCAATATCCGTTGTCCTTATTCAATCAGCAACAGCCTACTGTGAGAGAAAAGAAATCAGCTTACAGCTGGAGAGAAAATCGAGAAAAGACGCTGGAGGTAGATAGGATATACATTACGGAAATCATCAAACTACATCACAACTTAGAATCCCGAAGGTAAAAGGAGGAATAGAAGACCAAGGAGCACTTTGAGTCGGGATTTGAAAGCAGATATAGAAAAAATGAACAGCAACTGGAAAGGATCACTCAGGACAGAGTTCGATGGAAAATGTTGGTAGGCGACCTATGCTCCTCTATCAATGGTAACAGGCGTAAGTGAATTGATTCATCTAAATTATTAACAAAACAGAAGTCAATTACTAAAGGTGTAAAATAATAATTTTTGCATACATTGCATAATATTTGCTATTATTTGTTCTTTAGTCGATTGAAAGAAGTGAACCGCAAATTGAAACAGAAACATTTCATGATGAAAATGGTAAAATGATCAAACGTACTGTTAAACGTTCTGAAGTGACTACTACAAAAACTGTTAGTGAACGTATTATTGCAAGTACTGCAGGTCAGATTGTTCATGTAAGTTCTTATTTGTCTTTTGATTTTTTAAACTGTGTGAATAAACATAGTAATCTTGTGAAGAACTTAATGAACAGTTTATGAGTGACAATTTTTATTCTTGTTTTTTTAATCATGCAAAAACTGTTTATATTAATCACAATGTATGTGTTATCCGTTGTTATTTGTTAGAGGATTTATGTTTCAGTAGTTTGTTGATCTGACTTCCAATTTGTTCGAGTGGTGATAACGAAATATCCCAGCTACTCTCGTATCCAACTATTTTGAGTTAATAGATAACGGAATAAAATAAGTGAAGTGACTCAATATTTATACTAATTTTAATAGTTCAGATCATGAGTCAATTGAAGGTAGACCAACATGAAAAATCTGGAAGCACGGGACGGTCGTTTCATCCTGTTGTGGGACTCCTCAGCAGTGACTCATGATCTCAATTATTAAGATTACTATAATATCCACAAAAGACCCCTTCTGATATCAATAACTGTAGCCAGACAAAAATAATCTTAGGACGTGCCGGATAGGATTAGTGATACATATACATACGTTCATATTAAAACAATCAAGGTCATGAGCGAATAATTGACTAGGTCAAAATATTGCTCAGGGAGGATAAATATGTCGGTCGGTCTGTCTATAAGCTAGAAGAATTCATGTGGACTTGATATAGTACTAGACAGTACTATGTTTTCCTATGGCTCATATTATTGTATACAATGAATTTGCGACTAAAGCCAATCTTGAAACACTCTTTGGTGGGACTTCCTATATACATATATGCACTTAAACCATTTCCACTTGGTTACTAAGGTGATTGCGCAACAAACCTCCATTCTAATTATAGGTAATGCATGGAACTAGTCGGAGTTAGTTATTATTGTTACATTAATGAGCGTTAAAATGGTCTGGTGGGTCAATTAGTCTAAGGTCAACCGTTTAACCACACATTTGAATAATAAAGAACAGAGGGAGTATAATCTTGAACAAATAAATGAATAAAAATAGGTAGATGAGAGTGTTATATAATAAGAGAGACAAATTAGTTCATGGAGTTCCCCTGTTATGAATGATATCAAAGAAAATTACAACAGACCATCACTAACTTCTGTTTTGAGTCATATCTGATATTATTCAGGAATTGAAGATAAACCAACGGATACCAGTCTTATACAGTTTTCGTTCATACCTTGGCACTATTTCATAAGCTGATCATCTCTGCCTTTTCTAAACAGTCCCAGCGTCAGAAATTAAAGAATTATCGGGAAGTTGCTGAAATGACATTTTTAACACATATATGAGCACCGGCATTATTAACAAAGTGGCCCCCTAAATGTTAGCAATTCTTCAGTGGCAAAGATAATTGATCGCCATAGTCGTCGAATATAGTGTAGTCATGAGAAATATAAAGCAACCAAATCAGAATGTGTTATCAGTCCATGAAGTTCAGTATTCGAATAATTCATGCAACGCGGCTCAGAATCGATCACGATGAAACAGAAGCATTTAATCTTGATCTTTCTCCACGTCTTCAATTCCAATGTTTTTTAAATACACATCTTTTCATTCTGTCTTTCCGAACCATAACCTCAATGTCTGATGTTTCCCATTACCATTGTTGCTATAACCGAAGCTTGTCATCATCCATGCAAAATTACTAGGTCCGTGGACACCCCCTAGAGGATTTACATTTCATTGATCCAATTGATATTTATGTCTCAAGTTAATACAGTGATCCATGTTTGAATTGTATTCCTGTCGATTAAGTTTCAGTCTTTTCCCTCTCAATCGTTTTCTTTTATAAAACCAGCTCGTTTGTCCTATGTTCTTTCATTAAGCCGGTTGTTTTCTGTTTTTGTCTACTTCCATAGGATTTAAATATGGCGTTGTTAACCGTCACTAAATTGGATCCAGATATTTCAGTATTAAATAATCCTGTTGGACAAGTGGAGATTAGAACCAAATCAGAAAGTGTTCTTTAAAAACATAGAGATAGTAGTATTCAATAACTGCTTTTCGTTAATATATATGATACAACTAGCTATTCACATTTATTCATTCTTCGATCAATCAATTCATTCATTGATTCATCTAATTATTCAGTGACAATTCTATTCCTAACTGTCTCTTTATCCCATTCATTATCTAACTCACCCTCGCCTCAATTAAATTATATTATTGTTGTTCATTACGTAATTGGGTTTTTGTTTTTCCTCAGTTGATAAGATTATTTTTCAGTTTACTGCTGCTACAACTATATTTCTTATCGGATTTTCCGTTTACATATGCCTTATTTGGTAATGCTTTCTTTTTTATATATTCTTGGTAAATTTTTTTTAGTGTGTCGGTGTTTCTGTTGTATTCACATATCTTCATGATTGTTGTCATTATCACACCATGAGAAAGTATTATATCATTGGGCATTTTACATGTAAATGCTTGTATGTGTGTGTGCTTGTTAGTAAAAAGTGTGACACCGCATAACTTATGTACTAACAAGCATACATAAGTATAGACAAGGATTTACGTCTTAAATACACAATGATATAATACTTCCTCCTGGTGTGTTAGGGATACTAATGATGATAGTGCTAACAATCATGAAGATATAGGAACACAACAGAAACACCGACACACTAAAAAAAAATTTACCAAGAATATATAAAAAAGAAAGTATTACCAAATAAGGCATATGTAAACGGAAAAGCCGATAAGAAATATAGTTGTAGCAGTAGTAAACTGAAAAATAATCTTATCAACTGAGGAAAAACAAAAACCCAATTACGTAATGAACAACAATAATATAATTTAATTGAGGCGAGGGTGAGTTAGATAATGAATGGGATAAAGAGACAGTTAGGAATAGAATTGTCACTGAATAATTAGATGAATCAATGAATGAATTGATTGATCGAAGAATGAATAAATGTGAATAGCTAGTTGTATCATATATATTAACGAAAAGCAGTTATTGAATACTACTATCTCTATGTTATATATATATATATATATATATATATATATATACTTCCTACGTCGCATTTTTCCATTTTCTCCTTTATGAATAGAATTTACTACAGTCATGTAAAAGCAAAAATTTTGTTCCTTTGCTTTTATGTGTCACAAGAATACGATTTCATACTGAACCGGTAAGTATCGTTTAGTATTATTATTATTATGAGTTCAGTGTCTAGACACTTGTTCAGTTAGTGATTATCGAGCTATTATCAAGAAATAATGAGACAATTTACACAAATAGATGCCCAAATAAAAATCAATGTAGGGCTTTTAGAGGTCGTCAAATGTTGGAATCACCAGTTGACCTAAGTTAAATAGCTATTGAAGACCTCTGGAAGCATTGGACAACTGTTTCGTTGTACTATGGCGTCGCTCAGTATAGTGTGTATTTATACCACACCGTAGGGGATCGAACCCCAGGGCCTTGGGTTCTGCGCGCGATCTCTCTCTCTCTCTTTATATATATATATATATATATATATATATATATATATAATTTCGCCATTAGAAATAAACTTATAAATCAGCTAAGCAGGTTATATACCGATAAAATTACCACAGCTAACTGGTGAACTGAGTTCATGTCTGAATCTAGAGGATTCAGTTTGATACAGTAAAATCAGCTTAGACAACGAATAAAGTAAGCTATAAACAGACTTGTGCTTAGACGAAACACACATAAAAATTTACAAGCACAGATTTAGCAAGGACGTGGGGGAAAATGATTCTTTAGTCACATGGTGTCTAAATTATTAGTATTTGGTCAAAAGTTAGAACAAATTCGCCTAGGTTTGCATGGCACAGTTCCTACCTTCTGAATGACTGGTTCATAATAGAATGAAACCCACCTTGTAGGCAATCGGGAAACCAGAACTGACCACATACCTATAATAGCATACATGATCATCTTATTCACGATGAAATCACTTTGTCATGTCTTTATATTTCTTCCTGTCGCCATTAATCAAGTGACTGATTCCCTAATCACTACTAACCACGATCTGAAGCATACAATGCTATATTAAATCATATATATATAAAAGGAATTACTGACTAAGCTTTTTTCTCTCAAACTTTCATTTAGGTGTTTATATGTATTTTTGATGGAATATTTCAATTGTTCTATACCCTCATTCTTCATATACTCTTTTGGATTATAAAATGAATAAATCGATGAATGAGTAAAACTATCTCTGTTTTTTTATTCATAATTAATCATACGCGGAAATACAATACCATATTGTTGTCTCCAACGAAAAGAATACAATCCAATATATTCAAGTAGTCAAATCGTAATTATTATTATTTGTAAAGTGATGCTGATTTATGAATATGAAACGTATCTATTTACTGTTGATTGACCTGACTATTATTATTACTATTCATGAACTACTTAAAACTAATCATCTTCCATCGTACTTTGATTATATGGTTAGTTGTTTTATAATATATATATGGATTGCGTAACTATATACATTCAGACCATGACAATCATATTCTATTCGCTCCTTTTTTATGTACGTGTATGTATGTGCATGCAAGCAGTGATTTTTCTAGTCATTACAATGTTATGTTAAACTAATAATCCGTTCTATGTGGTTGTTGTTGTCGTTCATATTATGATCTTTTACATGCTCCTCTGAATTAGCACTGCTGTCGTCTTCTTGACTTACTACACCTTGCCTACTGCCTACTCATTTCACATCACTATTCATCATTGTTGAATATAGTCATTAATAATAATAATCACCTATATATATATATATATATATATATATATATATATATATATATATATATACATATATATATATATATACCATCTACAGTACGACAAGAATAAATAATGTTTTCGATAATCCTCCTCCATTTTCTGCACTACAATTCGAAGATTGGCATTTAATGTTTCTTGTCGTCGAAATAGTAAGGATAATATTGTTGTTTTGCACAGTGAATAAACCGATTATCCTATCTCCTTGTTTATTTGTCTGTGGGTGTGTGTTAGTGTGTTTCGTAATTGGATTCGCACTGGTAACTCCCCTATCATATTGTAACACCTGTTGATGACATATGGCTTTATTATGGTGATGATGATTACTTCGTGTATCGTTTTGCTCTTTTTTGTGTATCCAAATACGTTCTGTATTGTTCAGATATATTGCCTTTTTTTAATAGAAAAGCAAACAATAATATTTTATGCGGTGAGGAATTCGGATCTCAGTTACAGGCAATGTCGAGTCTAATATATCAGTGTTAGTTGTAGTAAAATTATTGCTGATAGTAGGAAACATAATATTATTCGTGAATAAAGGATACGCTATTAGGATAAAATATTATAGAATTATTTAAAGGAAAGACCAAGACTGGATACATCTCTATCATTGCAATCTATGCTAAGGGATCTCACCTGACGTCTCAAACCGTTAATCATAATAATCTCACGAACCCCAATCAGGTAATCTGTGCCTATCAGTATAGCTCAGTTTAACAGTTGATAACTTCATAGTCTAAAGTCAAGCTTTGGTATGGTTGCTCCTAGCTTTCTTTCAACCTAAACTAGTCAACTTCGTGAATCAAGGTAATCAGTGGTTGGGATATTTAATTGTGTGCCAACCAATTTAATAGATGAAGATTGATAATCTTGTCAACCAATTTGCCAACCTCAGCATTCTTTACTCAACGATCACAACATTAGTAAGTGATGCTTCAGAAGTATCTATGCAAATAGTCGTAACGTACGAATATACTCTATTTTTAGTTTGAAATTGAACAAACACAGCAAACGAGTTTCTTATTTGAAATTCTCATCATTCCTTATATATAAAATTTTAATCGAATTCATTTACAACTTGAAATTTAGGTTATAAGGAATTTAGTGTTTTATTTACAGAATTTGTGGCAACTAGATGTTTTCCCGTTTACTGCACAATGCGCTTGTTTCCTCCCATTCTCATTATTTAAGATATTTGTGATAAACCTCTTGGATCCAGTTCTTTAGCTGTTTTGTTTCATATTTTGCTAGGAATGCGTGCACAGATGAATTTCCCAAATTTAGTTCATTACCGACCAACCGAACAGTCGGATAGGCCACCACGTTTTTTTTAATCAACATAAGTCAGAGGTTCTTCTGATTTTGTATCAATCATCCTCGTCGAAAATAAAACGTCCTCTGAATTCTCTTTATTTTTATTCAGTGACACAATGGGTTATTTTAATTATCTGAAGAGTTTTAAGCATCCTTTGACAGTAAAGGAACTCAATAGGTTTCTTCGTTTTTCTGTCAAGCTTGTTATGACGAATGCCAGAACCATTTTTTTTAAAGTTGTACAGACAGATGTGAGTATCCGATACCATTTTTGAAAACATTACACCGAAACCACATCCATCCAAATAATCGTTCTTTGAAACGTCTCACTTTGAATTATATTGATGAAACGAAGTCAAGAATAGCGGGAATGGAACGAAATATTTCATTAAGAACGCATACATTATATGGTTTGTCAGATGGACGTTTCAAATTTAAAGATTACATTGATACGGTTGCTAGAAATGGTACAAAAGACATGAACTTGAAATTAATGAAAAGTTTAAAGTCGGTAAAAATACCAGAAAAGCATGTATTCAGTTACTCTAGCGTTAAGTTATCGACTATTCAGCTACAAGCATTATCTCTTGTTTGTCAATTTTGTAGTACATCAACTAACATTAATGAACTCAACGCTAAAATCCTGTTTGAAAGCCTCATTCGTCAGACAAGTGCCCTTATTCTAGTATCTAATGAAGATTATGAGCTATTCAAAACAACTCTTGTAGACTGTTGTAATCAATAAGTAAACACAATACCTACAACTCAACGATTACTCACAAAAGAACATAAGTCTCAATTATTTGATCTAAGAAATCAGGATTTAGTGTTGTGTCGCCCAGATAAGGATTCAGGAATTGTCTTTATGGATCGCCATGACTATGTCACCAAACTATCCTCGATATTATCTGATCTTGTCAAATTCTCTAAAGAAGCCATCCAGAAAGATGTAACTGAGAAAACGGAGCAGATATTAACTAAAATCCCAAGGAAGATGAGTTTATTATCAATAGTGATCTCTATGATCATCACCAGGTTCCGCTATACTGAGATTATGCGGGCTCCCAAAAGTTCATAAGAAGGATGTCAATCTTTGTCCTATACTTTATATGAATAACTCTCCATATCATTTGATTACTAAATGGTTAGCTAAAATATTAAAACCCGTCAGAAATAACGTCAATAGATACAACTCTCTTGATTCCTTTGATTTTGTCAACTCAATTCGAAAACCCATAAATGGTAGGAAAATGATCTCATTGGATGGCGTTTCTCTCTTTACAAATGTTCCACCTACAGAAACCGTATGTTTTTTACGTAACTATATTGAAAATAACAACCTTGACATTTGTATCCCAAAACATTATCTAAAAGAGCTACTTCTACTATGTACACTCAAGCTGCAATTCAGATTTAATAATTGATTTCCATGGACAAGCTGATGAAGTTGCAATGGGTTCACTAGTGGGTCCACTCTTGGCTGGTTGTTTCATGGAGGATCTGGAAAATACGGTACTTCAAACAATAATTGAGAGATTTCAGTTATATCAAAGATATAAGGATGATACTTTCATTATTTGTGAAGACATGAACCTCAATGAGATTTTGAATCGATTTAATAGTTGTCATCACTAAATTCAATTCACATCGTAAGCAAAGGCAAGCGAGAAATTTCACTTTTTATGTCCGGTTGGAAAGAAGGTCAGATGGTTCTTTACAGAGAACTATATATAGAAAACCGGACTGAAATGGTCAGTATAACTAGGTCCTATTGAATAGGAAGAAAAAAATCGATCCACTCTATCCTTTAGGATTAGGTGGATGTATTCTAATGACACTAAAAATGACAAACCACTTCAACTTTGACAGATAGTCATCAGAAATGGTTATTGCTATGTTTGGAGCGATTACGAGTTCATCTAGTCTGAGAACGAAACAAAGACTCTGTGACCAAAGACCAATAAGCTAGCTATTCTGACGCGTCCCAGCCCCGCTAACTAGAGAGAGAAGTCCAAGTTTGGATATCTGAGCAGCATTTTAAATAGTAGAAGTTCAAGTAAGTTGTTACGTGTTAGTAGTACGGAAAAATGAGATAAATCTAATTATACCAGTTCGAGATTCGTAACACTTATAAATATAATTTACCTAGTTTCTAAATAAAAGATTTTGATAAATGTAATGTAAATGTATTTGTCTACACGACAATGAAGTCATCTAGGTCCATCACAATAAATCATTGAAAAGTGGATTTTTTTTACAATAAACTAGAACTTATATACTTATCTGAACTGAATGATGTATGTGGGCAGGACTTGTCTGACTTATAAGTAGTACTCGTCTCCGAATAATCTCAGTAAGGGTACCACTAGAAATCACAAAGCACTGAACAGCTGTTTAACCCTAGTACATGGTTCCTCATTAGTCTACATTCACAATAACAATATGAATCAGGCCTTGAGCCTTCAGTTTATATTTGGATATATGTACTATTGAACATCAACTCAATCGTATTTAATTATAAGCGCCCGTCACAAGTCCCGGGTTCAATCCCTGGTAGGGTCATATTTGCACCCTGCTGAAAAGTCTGGTTTTCACTGGTTCCCAATAATACCCTGACACATATCGATCGAAGACGAATATCACCCGCAGATTAAAATAATTGCAAAACCACTTCATTTAAACTTGTTTTATATGCATTTATGTATTAAACAGACAAGGATGAAACTAAATAGAGATCAGACTGAAGGTTAACATGTAAATGAGAACTTAATAGAACTGTAATATTGATAGTGCAAACAACTCCATGTTAGCATCGAATTATGAAGAGCAGTTTCGTGGTTATGACAGACAACAATTTGACATTCATACGGTTATATAGAAGGAAAGAAGAGATTACATCATGAGGTGATCTAAGATTCCACGTATCTGTTTTATCCTTCTATTGACTCATATATTTATTAAACAACTAGAAGTAAATAAGACATGAAGTCGCTAATAGAGCTCCAAAAAATCTAAGCGTGTACGAATGATATATTCATGTCAGTTCTTATAGATAAAGTAGGTGGGTATTTCTTACGAAC